CAATGCATAGCAGGCGCTGGCCTACAAAATCAGCTCCCAGAAGGGCGGTTTTTCCCATGGGTGTTGGGGATGCAAGGTTCCGTCATATTTGACGGGGATGTGCCTGACCGATGAGCGGTGCGAGGGTCAGACACGAAGGGAGATTCGGAACAGCACTCTTGCAGTGGCCTGGCCGCTGCTGGCTGCCCAGTGCCTGGGCCGCGGAACCGGGCTGCGTGACCCTTGAGGCTTGTGGTCAGGAAGAGACCGGCTGCTGCAATATAATTAGAGCCAAGAGAAAGGGAAAAGGGCTTGTTGGTGATTCTTGTGTAGTACTACATCATTGTCACCTATGCCAGAAGCCTCGAAGAGCATGGGATCTGCTATCTTACTTCGTGCGTGCGACTGGAAAAAGATCCTGTCGAAGAGCGGCAGTAGCTGAGGGCAGGGCAGGGCGGTGAAATTTCCAGCCTTGTGTGCACATGGTCGAGCTGCAGCCCTTCCGCTCTTGAACCCCACACCATTGAACCTACTCTAGGGGCCTTAATAATTAGAATAGGGTTTTGGGGCCCAGTCAACTATAATTACAATAAGGAACCCCCAAAATGGTACAGGTAATTATCTGGGTTGTGCTGTAAACCACTTGAAAATTATTTATGAATAGGTTCCCTTTATAAAGAAATAAGGGAATTTAAAAATCATCCAAAAGCACAGCCCAGTTATTTTTAAGCCCCTATACTTGGGGGGTCGGGGGACTTAGTAAGTAGTTAGTAAGTAGCCTTATAAGTACCCTAAAAGGGACCCTAATTGGGGCCATGGTACTTATAAGTCCCTTACTAAGTCCCCCGACCCTCCAAGTACTATCATTGTAGTTGAGGGCTCCACCACACTATGGTTCTTTCGACTCGAAGTCTTTCGGAAAGAAAGGAATAGGCTCTGGGCCTATTGCCCGGCTTGCTGCAGGATTCACGAACTTTCATGAGAACGTCTCTCCAAGAGGTGATTGAGGCAATTCCAGGAGTTTGCCTCAAAACTCAGTCCGTTTCTTCAAGCCTTCGCAAGCAGAAGGATAGCGACCCTGAGACGCTGGGTCTTCAAGTCTAGGTACATATTGTACTATATAGTATATAGAGTGCTACTTGGCTAAACTAGGTGTGGGAGGAATTTTTACCGTAAGTATCCAATGGCAGACAAAGCAACGAAAGCCCAAGGAATAATGCGTTGGTAACTGTTCATAAAGCTGCAGCACTCTCACAAATAAACAGGCTGCGGAAGGCAACTTATGTTGCAAAATCATCTTGCACATCTACTCCCGTCATACACAGAGATCTGTAATCAATGAGCAGCATGCTCCTCCCTTGAGAATGTCTGTCCCAGTACCATGTCCTCTCCAGTCTATCAATCATGGGGCTAAACGAGCCTTCATCATCTTCCTTCCGAAAACATTAAGGCACCGACTGTTCTGTGCACATTGCGCAGCATAGCTACCCAAGACTATACATGTCGACCAGCTGGACATCCCAATCTTCAGGAAAGCTAGACAATTCCAACATTGTTAAAGACTTGAGAAGAAATTTCGGAAAAATCAGGTGCACTAGCGTCACTCTAAATACCAAAAAGTCGAGGTGTAATAAAGCTCCCGAAACGGAGGGAACGATCATATGGCCCGCGCTCACAGTCCCCTGCGGCCATACCGGGGAAAGAAAGTCTTTGCAACGAAAGCGCCGCAGCCAGGTACCATGCCACAGACTCCGAACTATGGAGGCTAATCTTGTGCAGCACCCTGAACCCTAAACCAAAACTCCAAGCCTCAAATGCGAGATTCCCCAACCCTGAGCCTCAAACTCACCCTGTACCCCTAAACCCTAAAAGCCTTAAGCAAGCCTTATAAATCTGCTCTCAACCAAACGGGTAGTTGTCAAAATTATGGTTCCTCTTTGGGTACCCTAAATATTGGCTGCCGTATTATATGAAGGACCCAAAAAGGGACCATAATTTTGACAACCACCCACTTAGAGGATCATGGGATTTAGTAAGTAGGGTTATAAGTGCCTTAATTTAGTGTTATAAGTACATATGACAGTTACCTTATCTGTAACCCTACTGACTAAGTCCTCAACCAAACGAAGAAGCCTCTGAGACTGCCGAGGAGCGCTGGTCTCCTGTGCCTGATCGAAGTCGGGTTCCCAGAGCAAGGCCGTGCACCTCAGCCGCTTAAAAACCTTGAGGGTTTCAGGGGTTTTTAGGGTTTTAGGGTTTAGGGTTTTAGGGTAATTATAGGGTTTTAGGGGTTTTAGGGTTTAGGGTTTTTAGGGTAATTATAGGGGTTTAGGGTTTTAGGGTATAGGGATTTAGGGTTTAGGGATGCTTTGCTGTCCGCTTTTGCTGCTCTGGTCTAAGCCCCTGAACGTCCCGCATCCTTCTAGATTAGGGTTCACAGTGTGGACTCTCGCAACTTGGGGTTAGGGCTTGTTGCTCGACGATATTATTCAGCTTTTTCTTTGTTGACCGTTTCTTCTTCCAAGCCAGTATCCAGTTCATTGTTGAAGACCGAGCCGCCCACGCCAACTCTTGCGTTTCCGTTTCTTTTGCAGTTGCGTTTGCGGCTATTTTTCTGAACTTCGGTTCGGTGCTTGTGGTTGCATGAATGATCTGCAGGTGGTCTTGCTAATTTGGGGTGTACGAAGTGTCACCACAGACCCATGACGCAAACATATACACGAACACGAACAAGAAACACACACACACACACAATTAAGAAACAAAACATACCAACGAGCAAACACAAGAACAAGCAAACAAACACACAACCAAGCAACCAAACACCCGAGCAAACAGACACAAACAAGCACACACTCACGAAAGCTCACGCGAATAACGAGCCTAAGTCTTAAACCTCTCGTCGGCGAGGAGCAAGGACCGCATCCCGGCTGCTGCGGCAAAGTCGAGCAAGGAGCGTCCATCGGGAGCCTTTCTAAATGGCATGGCGTTACTCTACGGGTTCCTCCAAGGGACTCCTCGTACTCTTAAAGGGTCCATAGTAACGTTCCATATAAAAGGATTCTGTAACAGAGTCCTACAAGGTGTCCATCGACATGCTGAAAGTTAACAGCAGTTTGCTCAAAAAGAAGGCTTCGGCGCGAATAAAACAAACTCGGTTTGGTGACATGTTGATCAGGAGGCTGGCTGGATGTGGGCTCCAGCATTTCGGGTTGGGGGCTATGTGTTGTGTTCTCTTGGGTACTTTTATACTGTAGGAACCTGATTTTCCATAACCCTGGCCTTTTGACCCCCAAATAGTAGGGTTCATATAAGGAACCCTAATAAAGGCCCAAGGTTTCTTATTCATGTTCCTTCATTATGCATCGCCGTCCCCGTATCTTTCTTTGGCATTCCTAGTCCCTTCCTCCTAACCCCATCTACAGCTTGTAGACACCTAAACCCCGATCTCTCCTTGGCGTTCATCTCATCCCAGTGAGCCACGGCAAGAAGTCGCATGGCCTCGGCCTGACGTAGATACTCGTTTGAGGGTTTGGTGATTTAGGGTTGAAAAGCTTCAGGGTTCAGGTTTTGGCAACACAATCACTCTGAGCTCAAAGCCTGTGAACCTCCACATCCCCACTCAGTCGGCTGATTGCCCACTTCACTGTGTTTAGGTTTAGGTCGTCGGGTTTGCGGCTGAGGCCACATCCCGTTCTGAAACCTTTGCTTTTGGTTTGGGATTCAGGGTTTCCTTTCTATCTCCAGAGCTTTTTGTTTTTTGGTATCGATGGCAAAAGACGGAAGAAGGGTCTTCAGATCGACAAGTGTTGGATACCGGGGCTTGTGGGGCTTTATGTTGACGTGCTGTGTATAGTTTAAAGGGGCAGCCCTATATTTCGGACAGCCTTTCTGGGGATCTTGTAAAGATCTGGCCGGGCATCATTCCACATTAACTCTCTTCCCCCAAGAACGGGGCTTCCAAAAGTTGAAGCTTTCTATCATAGACCACAAGCATAATGACAATGCCAATATTCTGAAGCTCTCCCATCGGCTCGGTACCCAGAGAGCCCAATAACCCTTCATTCAGGAACATGGCTGACATCATAATATGCAGCCCTTTTAAGGGCTCTCTGGGTAAGTTAAGGATCTCCTTTAAGTTAAGGATCTCTTTCATCTTCGGAAACTCCCCGGTCTACCTGAGGATCGATGGTCTCAGCGAGAGAGGTCTTTAGGGTCATAGAGCTTAGGGCTGGGTGCTTGTTAAAGGATGCAGGTGAAGTTACCATAATAAGGCAATAAGGAAACCTTAGTATTTTCCACAGACCCTGCACCCTAAACCCTAAACCCGTTAACTTAAACTAAACCCTCAACCCGGTAACTTAAACTAAACCCTGAACCCGGTAACTTGAACTAAACCCTAAACCCGGTAACTTAGATTAAACCCTTTGGCAAAAACCCAGAAGGGTAGCAACATGGCGATCTTGCGTGGTGTCTTGCAGTTTCTTCTGTCCGGGTGCTAGCGCGGACTATGGAACCCTGAGCAGAAACCGCTGTAGAATAGGGATCCTTTAAACAGAAAGGGACGCTGTGGGGCCCCTGTTTTTCCACATACAAGGTTTTGCCTCCCTGTAAAAGGGGTTCCTTTAAAAGGGATCTATAAGGGATTTATAAAAGGGTACTAGGATATAATGGGTGTCTGTCTATACCCCTGTGTTGCTCCCTCATGGCTTGGTAGTCAAGTCAGCCCGAAATACCTATAACCTATGTACTAAACACCCTGAACCCAAAACATTGTAAAGGCAACCGCCGAATTGAACTCACCCAACTTCAAGCCGAAGAGAGCCTCCGCGCAATGACTTTGACATGGCTTGTTGTGCAGCTCAGCTGATGCTTGAAGCAGGTAGGGTCTAGGTTGAGGTTTGCCTTTAGTTTCGGCTTTGGGACCTGTGACCTTGGGATCATGGAACAAGCTTGGCAGGAGTTTCGGTAGTTTTTCTGACTTCCGCAGGATGAGGCACAACTCTCTTCTACGGTGCGGCTCAGTAGGAAGACAGCTGGCGTCGGGTGGGCCGTTCCTGCAAGCGTGCTTCTTCGATGAACCTCAACACCAAACCTGAGAAAAAAACACACAACATAAGGGGCATGGAACTTAGTATAAGGTGTCGGGGTACGTGGGGGCTTGCTTTTTTGGGCCTCTGGGGGACAATTCAAACGCCCGGCACCTTCCGTCATACATGTCCTGACTCCTCTTTGTTATCTAACACAACGGTGGCTTCAGATCGGAACACAACTCCGACACCCTGACACCTTGTACTTGGGGGCCGCGAGACACCAACCAACAGCTATTGGACCATATCTCCGCTCGAGGACTTTTTGCTGCCTGGGGATGGACGTACGTATGCATCCATCGATGCATGAATGTAAATATGTAAGTAGATACATACGCATATGCCCGTGTCTATGTCTTTGTCTATGTTTATGTGAATATAATATGTCTGCCAGCATGTATGTATGTATGTATGTATGCTGTATGTATGCACGTGCAGATACAAGTACCAATGTGAGAAAATCGAGAAATGGTGAATTGAATAAACCTGTGTCCGTCCGCATGTATGCATGTATAACTTGAACGAACAGTCAGTTACAGCTAGTTTGTATGTTGACATGTGCATATATACATGTACTGTTTCGTGGTTGTTTGATGGCGGCTCTACAAACGCTACCCAAGACCCGCACGGCCCGGGTGTAACGTTCTCTAGAACCAAACCACCAGTGAATTCGGGTCCTCGTGGCTGCGGCTTCCATAGCCGCCTGCAGACAAACGAAGCAGGCCTTTCAACGGCCCTTGTTTGGAAAGGGGATCCAGCTGTCACATGCAGATGTCCTCAAGCCAAAAGATCTCTGTAGTCACACTGTAGTCTACACTGCCGCCTCCCAAACCCCAATGGTCCTAAACACGCGGCAAACTTGAGGAAGATGCTCTTAAGCTCTGAACCCTTAAACCCTAATCCCCAAACTCGGTAACCCTAAACCCTACACTAAACTCTAATCCACATAGTCCTTGCACTCTAATCACAGTAAAGCCTAAGCTGGTTTCATGTCTCAGGGGCTTGTCGTGCCGGTCTGGACGGATTTCACCTCCGGCAGAAAGCGTGACCTTTGGGCTCCCAGTCTTCTGTGTTTTGCTAGGGTTTAGGGCCTAGGGTTCCTTTAAAGGGATCCTTAAAAGGATCTAGAATAGGCTTTAAAGGGATCCTATAAGGGTTCCCAATCTTGTGTGTATTGCAAGGGAGTAGTAGGGTTTAAAGTTTAGGGTTTCGGCGCTCACATTCGGACAATCTAGGCGAGGCATGTGGTTCGAGGTCTGTGGAGTGAAACGACTCTAGTGGCAATGACGAAGCAGCATCTGAAAGACAAGCACATCAACGCATGCATTCCCCTCCTAGAATCCAAAGCTACAAGGGAAGACCAGCACTTCTCGATTTAGGGTTTATTGTTATGGCCCAAGAAAGGTTAACCTTTTGAGTTAAAGTAGGATTATAGAAGCCCCAAAAGGTTGCAGTTTACCTACTCAGCTACTATGTGTTTTTGTTGCTTGTTTCAGGGCAGGTGGCTTTTCGGGCTTTTTCGTGTTTGGGGTGTAGGGGAAGGAGCTCGTGTTTTTTGGTTTAGGGTCTAGGGTTTGCCGGGAGGCAGCGATTGGGGTTTTAGGGTTCAGGGAGTCGGGTTTAGGGGTTGAGGTTTTACTTGTTCGGGGCTAAGGGGGTCAGGAGCAACAAACAAAAGTCTGGGAATTCTCAACTACTTACAGGGAACTCCAGAAAGTTGAAATATGGTTTCATGGTAGGATCCCCTATAATTTACCTTAAAGGGGTTACGATAATCATATTCCAACTTTCTGGCTTCTACTGTAAAGGAGCCCAACTGGAGCAAAGGTTGCGCAGTGAAGAACAAAGGCCCAGACCTGCCACAAGCTCTTCTCTCTGGCTGTTCGACGCTGCGACTCGTTCAGCGACAACGCAAATCTATTCATGGAAAATCTTCTGCCCACCATGCTTTATACAGAAGAAAAGACAAGTTATGTTGTCCTACCCTTCTTCGACGATTGAGAGCAGAAATTGTTGACAAGATCCCCGCTTCTCCTTCCACCTATTTCGGAGATGCTCGGAAAGTAACACGCAGTCTATGACAGGCTCTTCCCTCCACCAGTCTCTCAGCCCACCTCTTCACCCTAAAATCTCGAAGCTAGAATCATGACTAACATTACTATTAAAATTAATATAAGTACTACTATTATTATTATGATTATTATTAATATATCTATTGTTCTGATGAAAAAAATGGCACTCAAACGAGTGCCCAGGCCCCGACTGGAGCGTCACGGCGGCGGTGCCCCCCTCCGCAGGCACCACGTGGGGACGGAGGCCCCAGAACTGGTCGGCACATTTGGAATTTTGGGGGTCTAACCCCAGATTAGGGTTTCGGTTTAGGGTTTAGGGTTTCGGGTTTAAAGGTTTAGGGGTTTAGGGGTTTAGGGTTTAGGGCCCCCGGGAGGATCTAGAAAGTAGATCCCCTGAAGGGGGACCCTATACTACTAAGGGTACTTTATAGGAACCCCCATTAAGGGATAAACTTTTTGGATCCTCCCGGGGGTCTGGGACCGCAGGCACCGAAACCCTAAACCCCGGTATGGGTAGTTGTCCAAACTATGGTCCTTTCGGGGTACCCTAAATAATAGGTTCCGTATTATAATAGGGACCCAAAAGGGGCCATAATTTCGACAACCACCCATATACTGTATACCCTAAACCCTAAACCCTGAACCCTAAACCCTGAACCCTAAACCCTAAACCCTAAACCCATAGACCCCAAGGTACGACTCGACCGGAGTCTCCCCTGGGACCTTCCGCTTATGCTTGTTCTGCTTCAGCTCCTTGCGCGAGCATGCAGAAGAAAGCCTCGCCCATACTTGGCGGACAAAGGGTCGTAAGCGAAGCTATGGGTAAGCTACAAGTCTAGGATCGAGGGTTTAGGGGTTTAGGGGTTTAGGGTTTAAGTGGCTATGGTTATTCAGGTCGTATCTACATCTAATCCACTAACTACGTACCATCGCAGCAGCCCAAAAACACCAAACTCAAAACGTCTGCAGAACCTAAAACCCAACCAAGTCACTAAGCCCCACAACCAACCCCAACCAAACCCTACACTCTAAACATTCAGCCGCAAAAGATACACGTCCTAGTTTCAGTTTTGCCGGCCGCCGTCGCCCAGGCCTTGTCGTGCCAGAAGGGCCCTGGAAGGGCCAAGCCTTTCGTGCACAAGCCGATCTCAAAGAAAGGGTTTACCTAACAGCTCCATACTAGTTCCTTTTCGGGGCTCATAGTTAGAGTCCTAGAAGGTAATCCCAAAAAGGAACTACTATGGAACCTATTATGTAGAGTTTGATGAGAGCGAGGGTTAAGGGTTTAGGGTTGGAGGTTAGGGGTTAAGGTTGCGGGCGGGTCAGGATTTGCATGGCTGAGTGGCGTTTCTGCGGTAATGTGGATCTGCTCACACTGTATAACTACACAATCCCAGTTGCATGTACATCTTTATAAATATAAAACAGTACATGTATGCTTATGCTTATACATACATACGTACGTGCTGCATACATACATGCATCCATACATCCATGCATACATACAGACAGACCGACCGACAGAGATACAGAGACAGAGAGATAGAGGTACTGTTGTATGTAAGGGTTCAGCCCTATGATTATGTAGCAAAATAGCCTACTGTTTTGCAGGGTCAGATCACAAACAAGAAACACAGCTTCTCAATCTTTTCAACATAGAGGGTTCGCAATCCAGCGCATCGGAATATTGCCGTTAAGTGTCTCCTTGCATCCATGCTCATCGTATCAAAGTCTACTCGCCGGAACTTCTCGTCAAAGCCTGGGTCAGAGGCGTGACGAACTCGCACTCGATGTTCTAAAAAACTACGGGCCTTACGGGCACGTCGACACATCACGTTACAGGTAGCCAACTCCCCTGGGACCACTGCAGAGTTCAGCTTCACTAGGCAAAGGCGCTCGGGGTACCTGTAGCCCCTAACCATACACAAATCGTGGGATATGACCTTTGGGTCATAGGCTAGGCTGTTCAGTCACCCACTGGGAAAAAGCATATAATTTTTCAGGCTTCTTATTTTATATTAGGAACCCAGAAACCTGAAAGTAACAAAGTGTACCACTGAACAGCCATGTAGGGTATAAGTATAAGCCTCGTAATCGCATCCACAGGTGGAGTTGAGGGCCTAGGCTTCGAGGTTTTCAGCTGGGTGCGTGCGGTATCTTCCCTTTTTTTTGCCTCCGTTACCGAAGGGTTCTAAGTACTTAGGTTACCCCCCCAACCATACTAGCAGTTCTTGCATAGAACCCTTCCCCCTCCGTCCTACTATGCAGGAACTTAGGACCTTTTGGGTTATCAACCCATGAGTCGTCAGCTTGTAAACCCTGAACCTGGACCTGGAACAGGTTGAGGGTTTTGGGTTGCTCCTGAACTGGTATAGGTTTAAAGAACAGGGCTTGCGGGTCTCAGCAACTCACCCTGCACCCAAGGCCCACGCCCTACGCCGCACGCCCAAACTCAACAACTTCCTCATCCCCAAACCCCAACCCACCACATTTTAGGGCAAGCGTCGCTCGAAGTGCGACGTTGCCAAAACATGAGCTTCGAAGCTGCCCTCCTTTGCCTGTTCAGGGTTTCAGAGTTCGGGCTTGAGTCATAGGAAGTAGGGCTTCGGCCTTTATGTTTAGACGTGTGCAACTTTAGGGCTTAACTTAGGCGAAGTTTGCTTTGTGAAGCTATCGGACTGCTGATGATACACAGAACTAGTGTCGAAGGCTATAGCACAAAGAGTAATGGCAGATTGATGGTGTAGAGACCTTCTGATAGGGGTTTCTGAAGCCGGCAAGACTGCAAATACTACAGTAGAGGTCAGTGTGGAGTGGCCGTGGCCGTCGGCTCTCGTGGTCCCAGCCCAAAGTTTTGGGGAGGACGAAGAAGATCCCTTGAGGGGGTTCCTGTCAAGTACACTGTTGTAACATAGGGTCCCACACCACAATTTGGGATGGACTTAGAATAGAAGCCCCTTACAGGTGGGTAGTTCTTCTTCCATAGTACTCCCATAAGACCCCCTTTACCTTATAGGAGTGGTGCTTATGGGAAACTACCCACCATATAACTACCCACCTGTAAATGGCTTAGACAGAAGGGTTCTATTCGCCCCCTTGATAAAATCCCATCCAAGGCCCCGTAGTCGAAGCCCTGCAAGTTTACGGGCCGGGGCTACACACCCAGAGTCTCCGTATAGTACCATTATGGAATTAGGAAACAAAAGACCATCCATATTATGGCTCTGGGGACCTAATTCCATAATGGTACTATATATGGAGCCTCAAGGACCGGAAACACCAAGAAGACCTTGGTTTCGATCCCGGGTCGAGTCAGGAGTCAGGCCTCGCAGTGGTAGAGCGGACGGTAGACGACACCTGGGCGGTTGTCAAAATTAGGGTCCCTTTTTGGGCACCCTAAATATTAGGTGCCGTACTGGTGCCGTATTATAATGAGGAGCCAAAAAGGGACCCTAATCTTGACAACCACCCACCTGATTTCTGCAACATTCTCCCGCTTCAGAACCTCAACATCTGGAACCCAACGACGAACTCCGAGTGCAGCCGTTCACCCAGGTGCGTAGCCGACAAACTGGTGCCGGGTCAGCAGGGGATGGAGGGCGTCACGTTGGGAGAGAGATGACTTGCGGACTTGCGGTACATGCATACTGTTCCTCATAAGCAGTTGAGCAGCTGGGCGCTGCCGGACGAACACTAGCTAATGGAAGGAAAGGCCCCGGTTCGCGCGTTTAGGAATACTGTTCATCAGCAAACTGGTATTCAATAACATGCCTCCCATGAGCTTTCGCATGCAAAAACAACGACACGGCGAACCCAACCAAGCACTCCTCAACTAGTTGAAAGCACATACAACAGCTTCAATCCCTGCTTGGCAGAAAGTCGCTTATTGGCAGGTGTAGGGTCTCACCATGACACAGGGTTTAGGGTTTTGGGTTTTGGGTTTAGGGGTTTAGGGTTCTGAACCCACAACCTTTCACGGAGAGCTCTCTGCTGTCCAGTGTCAGAAATCTCGTCGGAAGTGATCCTGAGAAAAAAGGGTGGGAGTGGGGCTTCGCACTTCAAGAACGGAGGAAGTATAGCATGGTGCTAGAGATTGTATAACTGCAGAAACACTTGACACCACAGCAAGCAACGCTGCTCATCCAGTCATCTCTGCTTCAGACAAGCGTCCCAAGCATGACCCAGAACCTGGTAGAAAGCACCTCCGTCAAAGGCACCCGCAAATTGTGTCGACGGTGCGGGGTTCGAAGCAGGATTTCCGAGGGAAGGAAACGGCACTTGCGAATGCGCGTGGTTTCAGTTTCAGCTGGCTTTACTCCACGGCCTGAGCATTCGTAGTACTCGCCCGACAGCACTGCCTGACAAAGGCTGCAGAGGTAGCAAATGTTGTTGGGATGTGGGAACCTTGGCGTAAGCATATAGCAATCACTATGTATAGCAGAAGGCTTGGCATCATCTATGTGACACGCAGAACATACGAAAAGACAACAGTGAACACCGCATAATATATATATATATATATATATATATCACGAGGGAAATCGCAGCAAACGAAGCGAATAGCGATTTCAGGTAGCAGTTGCTGCTGATTTCCAGTATTTTCGTGAGCTTCGGGCAAGTAGAGGGGAAAGGACTCCCGGGGACATTCTATCTTCGCTTCGCTTTGTCTAAAGCCCGAAGAACTGAAATGCAACAAAAAAGCCGATGCCCTGAGGCCTTAACCTCCAAACCCCAACAAGGTCTTCGCGACCGAAGAATTGGAGGTAGCCGGCACCCGAAGATATAGGCCTGCTGCACCTTACTTAACCAATACTGTCAAGGGGGGCTTCGGGATATGCTTTCAGAGTACTACAGGCCGAGATTCCACTCACAAACAGCCAAGTAAAAGAAATTCCCTGATTTTTAAACCCCTGCTACAGACCAAGCAATACCGAAGCCGATCAGTATCAAGTGTTGGAGGGTGTTGAGCTCACCCAACGACATCAGCACATGACAAGCACCGGTCCCACCTGACGCCGCTCGTAGGCCCGCGCAGCCGTGGCAGCAGCAGCCCCTGTGACCTTTGTGAGGGCAGTCGTTTCGACTCCTATAACCTAATATAGGGGCCTTTATAATTAGAACAGGGTATTGGGGCTCATTATCCTATAATTATGCTAAGGAACCCCGGGTACTTATTAAGGCCCCTATAGTCTGGCTTTTGTGGATCTACTCTAGGGCTTAGAGCCTGTATCTCGGGCTTTCACGAAGCCCCAGGCGGCGAGGCAGGGATGGTGGGCTCACCGAGACATAGAGGAGTTTCCGAAAATTAGGGGTACCTTATTTTGGGGTCTCTATAGTAAGGATCCTACTATATAGGGTACTAGGTTGGGGTCCCCTATTTTCGGAAACTCCCATATGGGACGAATGGTGGGAGCGTTAGGACCGCTGGGGTTGCCATCATATTCAATACCACTCTGCGCCAGAATCCTGCCAGGCAAAATTGAACAACAACAACTAACTAGGACAAGTAAACACAATAGAGCAATGCAACAGAAACTGTGAAAAAAATGGTACAAAGATTACAAGTGACACGGCCGCCTATGTACATGCCGCAGCCACAAACTACAATAATCATGGCCGTGGATTCCACAACCTATGCCTCAAGAGCCCCTTCGCCTTTTAACAATTCCCGAACCTCGATGCTTGACTTCGATGGAAACCTTCGAAATTGCATATATGCGGCCATGAGAAGAAGACAGCCAGGTATACATCCAAAAGAAGCTGAAAGCAATCGCTGCAGGTAATTCGCACACAGGCTTCCAACGATGTCAAGATCTGCTGCTTAGGTACGCAGCCGCCAGCGAAGATTCCAAACTTCCCGAGATGTGACCACATCGGAGCAGTCGCTAAAGCAAGAACGCGTATGAGTCCGGAGTCCTGCGAGCAAAGATCCCTTCGCTGTGCTCCTGCTGTCTTCTATTCTACGAAGCAGAAGTTGTAGAACTGTCTAGCGGTTCTTGCCATTTGCACTGATTTGCCTCCAAGTTCAGTGGAGATACCCATACGAAAAGAGTGTTTCACCACGTGAGCGACGGCCCTCTCTCGAAATCTGGGAACCACGGCTACCAGAAGCTATCCTTCCCTGCGCACCTGAGCTGCTACGACCTGAAGGCTGGAACCTTAAATGCGGTGCACCTCAAGGCAACCCGAAGCAGTACCACGGCGAGATTAGACTCCGGTTTAAACTCGAATACTGCTGCATGAAGAGTCGGCTGTAGAACAGCATCCGAGCTTGAGCCCAAGACGGCGGCTGAAAGGATTGAGCAACCGATTTGGGCAACAGGTCGAGGCATACATTATGTTTATGTACTGAGCTAGACAGTGTTTATCGTGTGAGTCGCCGTGATGTCGTTGCTCGCAACAGAGGATTTCGAAAGACAGGGATGTCACCATAAATTTCGGACTACGCCCGTTGAGTTCATTGGCCAGGAGAGACTGCAACTTCAACCCTAAATCCTAAACCGAAACTGCAACCCTAAATCCTTAACCCTACACCGATGGGACTATCTACAGCTACCATAAGTCTTCCATATGTCGATATGCGAAAACTCAGTTCCTACCGACCTAAGGCATCAGACCGTACTGAAATTGGAATAGGTAGACTGTGTGGCCCGGAAATAGAGAATCCCTCTCCGATCTCCCTCTCTCCCTCTGTCTCTGTCTCTGTCTCTCTGTGTCTCTGTGTCTCTGTCTCTCTCTCTCTCGCCCTTTCTCCTCAAGCCCCAATCTCAGCACGGTTCATCCAAATGCCGGCAGCGTACACTAACTCCACCAAATCCCACAACCTTAACCCTGAACCCCCTAGTTGCTTAACCTCTAAACTTTCCTAAGCCCTTACTAGCCCTCAGCCATCAAAGTCAACCCTAGGCCCTGGACCCTGAAGTTCTCAAATCAGCTCCACCCCGCACGAGCTCGCCTCAGACTTTGCTGCGATGGCATCAAAGATCCCACCCGCAACCTGAAGCACTCCAGGAGGAGCACAGGAGGGTTCAGGGAGCTGCAGCATTTGAAGAAATATCTTCTTGGGGTGCTTAGCATGTGAGGGAGGTGAGGATCAAGTTTCATGTTATGTGTTTTCCGCGACTTTTGCTTAGCTGTGGAGCTCCAGGAACTTAAACAAGGGGTTACTGGTGCACACAGTATATGGTTGGCCGACTACTTACATAGGTAACTTAGGTAACTGAAGCCCACTAAACCCCGAACTCTAGGGTAGGGTTGAGGGTGTAGCACCTAGCGCGGCTTCTGTTGTCCCAGTCCGAGGAGCTTGCGGCCCTAAGTCACGTTGGTTTACGAGTTTCGGGGTTTAGGAGTTCAGGTTTAATAATGGTTTGGGCAGCATGGGCCTGCAAGTTTTGAGGTGTATAGTGCCTCGACATCGGAGCTGCAGGGGCTGAGTGCTGGGTTTAGGGATTTAGGGTTTATTGATGTTTGGACTTTGGGGCCGAAGTGTGTGGATACGACTTGCAGGACACAGGATTTGCGTGTTGGAGCACAGGCTTTTGGGATTGAGCTTGCGGGGTACTACAGCGGCAAGATGGGAGAAAAGGTTTGGATGCCTGAGGCTTGTAGTTACTATACTATGCAAGCTAGAGCACCCTGAGCCAAAGCATCATAGCCCTGAAAGCACGTAATGCGGAGGATCGAGGGACGCCCTGCAGCCTCAAACCCCAAATCTCGACGCTGCGTTGTGCTCATGCGTATAAAGCAAGAACCCACCCCGAACCGCAGACCCTCTTTTTTAAAGCCCTGCCTAAGTTTATGGGCCGTCGTTTTACCTTGTGGGGTTTAAAGTAAACCCTAGGACTTAGGACCTCAGCACCGTGCCAGGTCTCCGTCGGTCGATGTGGGGGTCATGGCCGAAGTCGGACAAAGCAAGCTCGGGATTCAAACGGTTGCAGTTGAGGGTTCAGCATTCTCAGAGGCTTGGGGTCTTGCTTTGGTCTGAGCTCCTCTCTGCGCAACTACCGGAGCTTACACAAGGCCATGGGTCAGGAGTGGATGGGGAGCTTAGGGTCCATCACTTAGAGGGTCATGGGACTTAGTAAATAGGGTTATATGTCTTGCTTATAACCATAACCCTACTTACCAACTCCCCTGATCCTCCAAGCAAGGTTCAGGGTTCAGGATTCTGGGCTAGGGATGGAGAGGTTTGCAAAGTCAGGGTGTGGGGGTCTAAGCGGCGAAAATTGGTCCGCGGAAAAAAGAGATGTGCATCCCGTCGGCGAAGCGACGTCAGAGGGCTCAATGAACGAAAAGCGGGATTTCTACTGATTCTGCTGACTTTCGACCTGAAGTCAGTCAACTAGGATGTAGAGCTTATCTGCCCAGTTTACGATTCAGGGCTTTAGGATTCGGGCCTATATGGCTTGTGGCTTACACCCTAACTCTGTTCTCACATCTTGTGTTTTCGATCAGAGGCTTTTCGGAACTTTAGAGCTCGGCATTTGGCATTCCGGATGCTCGCTATCAAGGAGAGTCCAAGCAACGATGCAATTTCGGCACTGACGCGTAAATCGATACAACTAACAAGGTCATTTCTGCTTCCTGCAACAACGACGACAACAACGAAGGGATTGTTAGGGTGTGCATGCGGTGCGTTAGTGGGGTTGTCTCAGGGTGGTACGGGGCTTTCTTCTCAAGGGTCTCAGGGGCTTCAAAGCTGGTTCCATAGTTGGGTCCGCGTGATGGTTCCTTTATAGGCTTACTTATGGGTCTTACAGCCCTAGAGTTGGTGGCAAGGCCGTCCAAGCCAAGCTTTCGTGGAAGCACCAACTGTCGCTTCGGAACAGATGCGCGGCAACACCGGCACAGGGACAAGAGGCAGGAAAATTCTATACTTGGCGGAGCGAAGCAAGCTGTGGTGGCGACCCTCTCATCCATAACAAGTTGTTTATATGAGTTGTATCTATCATGCATATGCATGTAGAGACAGAGTCTGTTTTTGTGTAAGTATTATAAAACTATCCATCCACCCATCCATCCAGCTAGTTGAATATCTTTTCGAGCTGGTCTGAGGCCCGGAGATTCAATGTGGGGTACAAAGCGGCCATGGTCTGATGATCTTGTTGCCTATAGGTATGGTGATCCACAACTTCGGGCAGTGACACATCAATCAGAAGACTGTGCCCCTGCTCATGCTATGAATTGTGTGGCTAGCAACATCAAGCCCATCCGGCAGAGCGGAATCAATATTGTAAGTGTTGATGAAAACTTGCGCTTAGTGAACAATCCGCCGCCTATGCATGAAAAGCCCCAAACCAACCCTGTGGTGCGTCAGAGGTACCAAGCCAAACCTCGTTTTCGACTTTCAGCGAGGTGGGTGAAAACCGGCCCAAGTGGATGGTCAACTTGCTGCGAGAAACAATCGAGGTCGTTAGATGCGGATGAAACCATGCTAGCTGCTAGTAAACCTTACATTACATCTGCTGTCCGGGTTGCTGCTGAGTTCATCGGTTTAGCCCTGCGTTTCGGTCGGGTGAGAAAACATCGTTCGCTTGACTTGTGTCATGGGGGTTTCCGAGCGAAATATCCAGTGTTTTTGCGCTGACCATCAACACCCAGCTACACCTCTGGAGCCGGACGCTTGGTGTTGTAATGTCTGCCACAGGGCACGGACTTGTCCGAAGCGTCTCGCTTGTTGTGATAAGCTTAGGGCTGAACCTCTTTGGCAACCCTACAGACCCGCAACTGCCGAAGGCCATGTGCACCACCGAGAGCCCTGAAGCATAGACCATAAAGCCGCTAAGTCATCAACCATAAGCACGCCAGACCTAAAAACACACCCCTGAACCCAAAAAAGTCGAAAGAGTTCTTTGTTGTTACACTGACGGTAGCAGGGATGAACACGAATCCTCCCAAGAACCCAAGAAACAAACCCCAAGCTTCGGTCGAAGGCTTCTCGGTCTGTCCATACGGCTCTGCAGACAGGTGAGACAGGGGCATCTTGGGAAGTTGGGGGAACGATGCAGACCGTGTGCTGCTTGCAAATGTCGGGCCATGCCGGGTTTAGGGTTTCTAGACGGTTTAGGGTTCAGGGCTGAGGGACCATGATACCCCAAACTGAAACCAGCCCTCTCGTACTCCGCAGTCGGATACCATGAGTCCGATATTGGCTGTTGACATCAAATCACGACAGTACAATCTGCATCCCAAATTACATCAGCCCAAACCACACCCAACACTGTTGAACCGAGGGTACATACTTTTCAGAACATCAGGATAGGGCCCCAAAAAAGCCACATAAGCAAAAACTAGGATAGGGATATCCCATATAACCGCCTTATAACAAAGCCCAATAAGGTAGGGATATCCCTACAAAATGCTTATGCTTCTGTGGTTTTGGGGTCCCTAAACCTTAAGAATCTGTGCTGCCCTCGCTTACGCAGAACGGGATGCGACAGGAAGTCGTGCAGTTCAACTAAGATCTAGGACGAATCTACCAGTCGTTAGATAACAAAGTCATGAGGCCGACTACGAATGCTTGGTAAGCACCGGCGTGACGTCAAAGCTGCTCAGCAGGGAGCTCTGCCTGACGAGATTGTGCTTGCATTTCTCCATCTATGTGCGTGTGCAATGCAGTACCGGGGCGGTGTGCTTGGAGGACCTGGTGAGTTAGTAAGGAAGCTTCTCAACGTAGCTGCACAGGTCTGCAAGAGTTTGATGTATATAGCTGAAAAAGGATCTCAAGACTTTTTGGATCAGGGGACTTGTGCAAAAACAAGGGTTATAACTATGGTTCCAAGTACCCTGATTCGTCAGGGGTATAATTTACATGTAAGAGCATGTAATGGAAGTCGGTTTGCAGTTTACAAACCGACTCATTTCTATTTTCCACAACCATTGATCATATAAGCCCAAACCAAAACTCTAAACTCAAACGCCCCAAGCGTACTTCTCCACTAGAGTCCGACCTACTTACCCACAGGTTCGTATTTGCTGACTTGTATGTTTGTAGGTGGCTATATATATATATCTATATATATACATAGATGCAAACACCTACATCTGCATATATATATATATATATATATATATATACACATGCATATATATATATATATATATATACATAGATATGTATACGTTTTTGTATATCTGTGAATACGTGTGTGCATGCGCACATAAATATATATATATATATATATATATATATATATATATATATATATATATATACATATGTATATATATATATATATATATGTATATATGTAGGTATGTATGTATGCCATGTAGTAGAGATGTATATGGTTTACTCATGTGCACGCACGTCACACACACACACACATATATATATATATATATAATATAAATATTACATATATATATATATAATATATATATATATATATATATATATATATATATATATATATATATATTTATATATATATATATATATATATATATATATATAAATGCACTAAAATATGCAGTGCTACGGCTATCACTATTGTTGTTACGCGTTCAGCTTTCCTACTTTCCATTGCAAACGAATGTTTCTTACGTTTGCAACTATTCCCGGTATTGCTGGGACAATTCCCCATCTGTCATCCTGCTTGTGATTATGATTGTGGCTACGATGCTGACGATGGTGATGTTACTGTTGCAAATTGATATGTGTATCAACAAAACTACAACAGAAATGATGATACAAGCCATGACGATGACAGAAAAGATGAACACGATAATGAGAATCACAATTGTAAAGTCATGTGGCGGCCATGAAGGGGCATCGTTGCTAATTACCTAGGTGCGTATAACCCCAATCTGGACAGTCCATAAAACCTGCAGCAAGTTAGCAACATATTCTCGTTGAAATGTCAAGCAGCTGGAAACAAAGCAATGCTGTTTATAAAAGTGTCTCTCCTGGTACGTCCATTTCAAGTTTAAACACCGCACCCCTGAACAGCCTCACCACGGCTTCGACAAAAAGCACCTTCTCGAAACTCCAAGACGTGTTCTGATCTTGCTGATGATGTCCGCGAGCTTCTCGTCTACCTGGCCGGACATGTGGAGTCTAACCAGCAACACCAACGCCAACAACAACCACAAACGGCACACATAATATCATAAAGATAAATCACAGACATGATCCCGACAACAACGGCAACGTCAACGGCAACAGCAACAGCTACAACACTAGCATGCAACAACAGTAACTGTAACTAAAGCAGCTACAGTTACAACTTTCCCACGACCGTGAACCGTCTCTAGAACAGACGACGCAAGATCCTAGACGGTTCAGGGCTTGCCTTAACCCACCTCCAGAGTTCCATACTGTGATTTCTTAAAGAAAACCTTACCAAAAAAAGAAAACATAAACTTTACACAAGCAGGTTTGGGGGGGATTAGAAGGTAGAGGATCAAGACCTGAACTCCGACCCAAAACTCGATTGCTGCAAGGAGCCCCCTTCAAGAAGCTCTGGTACCTCCTCTCTGTTCTCCCACAACCGGGCCAAACGAAGTTCAAACTTCTGGCATACACCAAATATGTAACTCATGCCAAAAAGTAAAGTTATCCCATTCATTGGCTAGCTAAGTCCAAAGAAGTGCCCTGGGCTCTCAGCTCAGCACCTTCGGATTTAAGGGTTCGGCGCTCACACTCGGACAATGCGTTCGAGGTCTGAGAGGTTTAGGGTATAGGCTCGGACTGGCTAAGCACAGGACTAAGCCGAAACAACATCACTCGCCAATCAGCATCCTTAACCTCCTCACATCTAACGAGTTAAAGAATCTCAATCACTTTAACAGTCAGATCACACGCCCTTTGGGGCTTGAGGTGACATAGGGAACATAAAGCGTACTATAGCAAGCCAGGAATGGCCTGCATGTAGCCGGCGTGATCTGCGGAATCTTCACGCATCCTAGTGCGACTACACAACCTTGGTCTTTTCTGGCCCGTACGGAGGCTGGTCTGGCTGGCGCTCACGGATTTCCCCAATCTTCTTATCCAGAGCGTCAAGGATCTGACTCACACTGCGGCCGGCTCACTCTCCACCCTAAACCCTTGCAAGCAACAAGCTTGTGTGATTGCACGCATCCATGGTTTCATCACCGCAGTCTCGGATGCTCGAAGGGAAAAGAAGGACCGCCCTCGATTACTCTTTGTTCGGAGCGCTAAGCCCTCCCATTATCGATTGAGTTAGTCGTTGGCACTCCCGGCATTCGTCTACCTTGAGAACATTGGTGCTGCAGGCGCGCCGGGTCAGGTGACTGACACGGTAGCGGAGCCTTCTTCAGAAGAAGGCGACGCCCAGACAGAGTCTGGAGATCCAGGGACGTTAGATTCGACTACCACCGCCAGCGCCGTGGTTAGGCCGTCATGTCATCGACCGGAGCAGCAGTGACAAGGAGCAAGGATGGAGTGCCTCAATGGTCGGGCGAAGCATCTTCGTTCACCGAGTATGAGGAGCAGTGTCTGTTGTACGAGCAGAGTGTACCGTACCATAAACGGTACATGGTTGGTCCCCGACTCATCGGGGAGCTCCAGGGGCCAGCGAAGAGGTTGGTTCTGGGAAAACGCCCAGATTGGGTCAGCTATGCCGGGGGGGTGACCGAGCTGCTGAACACTCTGCGTGCGAGCCTGGGACCGCCACAGGTTTCGGAGTTGGCCGACTACTTGACGAAGTACTTCAGACAGACAAGGAGGAAGGCACATGAGACTATGTCAGACTACATCACCAGGAAGTGCGAGGTGTACCTGAGGGCTCAACAAGCCCTCCGACGAGTGATGCCCCAGCATGTCAAGGTGAGCCAGTCTGGTGGCGCCGCCTGGGGAGCCCCAGGCGACACATGGAGCCGACGGGTCAGTGTGGACTCAGGCACCAGCCAATCTGCGAGCAGATCGGCGGCACCCGTGGCGGAGAATGACGAGGAGGACGAACCGAGAGCAAATGAAGACGAACAGTCGGAAGCCAGAGATGAGTGGTCATCATGGAGCTGGCACGGCTGGGGTGGCGGATGGTCATGGTCAGGCTATGGCTGGGGCTCCGAGCGCTCCAGGCAGCCCAGCCACCAATGGGGTGCCAGTTCCACCACCGGAAGTGGACGAGAGGCCACCACGACCACCGTTGCCGAGATCCTCCCGGACTTCATCCAAGGATGGTTTCTTCTGTTTGACAGTGGGCTTAGCTCGACAGAAAGGAACATGATTCACACCGCGGTGCACGGCAACTACGCACTTCAGAACATTGCCCGTGAGTTGCGGGCACAGTGGGATGAACACAATCTACGCCAACGAGATGGACACCGAGTTCAGGCGGGCTACCTCGGGGAGATTGACTACGACGATGAGGACGAAACGGAAGTGGACTTCCAGGCGGGCTACCAAGTGGAGGACTTGACCGAGGAGGGGCAGGCGTTGGTGGCTGAGGCAGAGGCCTCAGCCCAAGAGGCCCTGGCCACCATGCAGCATGCGAAGCGGACATTGAAGGAAGCGCGTGCCAAACAGCATCAGATCAAGCTGTCCAGGCAATACTTCAAGCCGTCCAGTGGCAACTTTCGTCCCGGTGGAGCCCGGTCCTCGACATCGTCTACACCAGGAGCCCGAACTTGGACCCCCAATGATGCCAACATGCAGTGCTTGAAGTGCGGGAAGATTGGACACAGGGCAGCGAACTGCCCACAGCCCACCAATCAAGCACAACATGCCGAAGACCAGGTGGAAGCCGCCCCCTTCATCTGCTACACCGAGGATCGCGAGGAGCCGGTGGAGTTCGCCCTCTCGGCCCAGAATGTGACTGCCGAGGACCCGCCCACCACCTATGAGGCCATGCGGCGTGGTTGGTGCGTCGTAGATGGCGGAGCAACCAAAACACTTGGAAGTGTGCAGGCAGTGCAAAGTGTCTTGGATTGCAATCGCGCAGGTGGAGGCCCAACCCGGTTGTTGGGCGTCGACACCAGTCGGCAGCCCGTCTTCTCATTCGGGAATTCCTCGGAGAACAGATGCGTCTCCACGGTGGAGATCGGCGTGAAGGCCGGGGACAAGGATGGGAAGTTGACGGTCCACGCGCTGGACCAAGGATCGGGGCCAATTCTTCTGAGTGTGGCATCGCTGAGGGCTCTAGGAGCCATCATAGATTTTTCAAACGATTTGATTGTCTTTCGTGCCATAGACCCTTGTCGTGTGATCAAGGCACATCGCTCACAGAGCGGTCATCAGTTGCTCCCTCTGAGCGGAGACATGTACGAGCAGTCGGAGGTGGCCAAGTGCGCCATTCCGGCACTGACTGAGTTTTTATCCTAGGGGCAACTCCTTCCGCTGTCTGAGCCTGAAAGACCGTGGAAGGACCAGTGTGCAGATTCAGGCGAGAGTAGGACTGTTGAACAGTCAGAGAGGGGTAAGAACCTTTTCAAAGATGTTTCTGTGAATAGTAGCGATGTGATTGATAAGAAATTCTTCTCTTCTACAACATCCCAGCAGTCGAGCAGACCGGAAGCCAACATGACACAGTCCGAGAACGCGATCTACAGCAGCACTTCCGGCCCAAGTTCCAGCAGCAAGAACAATCCTTCCGGACACCATGACCCTCAACGGCATGAAGAAACCCGCCTTGCAGGCTCTTCTTCGGGAGAAGGGCGAGGAGCCACCACAGCGGTGGACCAAGCTAGAGCTACGCCAGCGCTTGATCGAGATGGACCCCAAGCTGGCCGAGGCGGCCAACAAGAAGCAGGAAACCGAACTGCAGCAGTGGGTACACAAGATCAACAAAGCCAGCGCCAGGAAGAGCAACCTGGTGAGCCTGTGCGAGACCGAGATGGAGATTCCGGTCAAGGGAACCGAGACCGTGGCGCAACTGGAGACGCTGGCAATGAAGCAGGCATATCGCCTCTCCACACCAGCCGGTGCGGATGTTGTCGGGTTCGGGAAGTTTGCCGCCCTGGAGTACCGCGACATCAACAATCACCAGCCGGGGTACCGCGAGTGGATCCTCAAGACGGCAAAGGAAAGCCACGAGTGCGATTTCAGGCTGAGGCGACTGGCCACGTGGTTGGAGGCGAATCCCCCGCTGCCGAAGGACAAGAGTGTGGAGGAGCTCTTTGTGGAGGGCGAGCCGAACAGAGCTCGCGCCATGCCGAGTTCAATGATGTCCTCGGCGTCTTCGGTGAGCTCAACGACTTCGACCGAGAAGGGCCAGATCATGCAGGTGCTCCAGCAGTTGGCCGGGGCAGTGCAACACCTTCAAGAGGAGATGACCGAGATGAAGGAGGATCGCCCCCGTCGCAAGGAGAGCCGCAAACCGGGGTCCGAGGCAACGTCCGATGGCTACCAGAAGGTGGAAAAGCCATGAGCGGAACTACCTCAAAGGCGGCCCCTGAGATCTATGAGGCCCAAGGAGTTCAATTGAGCTCTGGGAGGGCCAGTCAGTTAGAGAATGCGTCGTGGGATATAGTTCCGAGCTTGTTTCAGGCTTTGGTGAGCTATGATAGGCCGTTGTTGTTTGAGTTGGGTTGTGATTCGGATAGCCTACTAACCACGGCTGTACAGGATCAGACTGGTTGTTCAGAGGCCGCCCGACGTTTCTCCACATGGAACGGGGCTGACCTTGGTTCCTCTGAGGGGATCAAGTACATTTTAGGACTCATCGGGACGGAGCGCCCGGGCGTGGTCTGGATGGCCACACCTTGTGGACCCTTTTCTCCATGGCAACATGCGAACTGTCGCACGACCGAGCAAAGAGAGGAGCTACAGCAGAAGCGCAAGCAAGTTCAGAAGGTGTACGTTGGTGCCAGTGTAGTGTACTCGTACTGCATGCAGTTAGGCATACATTGTGTGTGGGAGATGTCTGAGAAATCCGACGCTTGGAGATTGCCCATCCTTCAAAGACTGCAACGGAAGTTTCAGCCACATGTCGCCGTGACCCATGGTTGTCAAGTTGACTTACGTGGTAGGAAGGATGGTCGGCTTAGTAAGAAGGGTTGGCGCATTGTGACCTCTCATGCTAGGCTTGCCGAGCGTATGCAAAGAACCTGCAAGTGTGTAAAGGCCTACCAACATGCGAAATGCGAAGGTGAGGATACCAGTGGGAGTGCGAGGTACACGGAACAGTATGCACAATTGGCTGCGCAGAGTTTGGTGTTGGAACTTAACCATGTGACAGTTCATCAAGAATGTCAGGGCCAAAGTCAACTGCCCGACTCCTTTGGAGAAGGGCTCACGTGCCAGTGCGAAGGGATGACGGGGGATGAAAGGGTTCCTTGTGGGTGGTGTCTTCAGGGTTCTCCTTCGGATAGGCAGGCTTCAGGGTTTCAGGGCAACCCTAAACCGGAGGCACCCCAGGAAGATCCCCAGGTCTTTGAACCCGAAACCCTAGAAACATGGTACGCAACCGAAGCGATCCGCAACGTGGAGGACCGGGCCACCAGGCTTCTTAAGGACAAAGATTTCAGCAAAGGGGCTTGCGAAGAGTTGTTGAAGCAGCTTGAGTGGAAGGCTCGGGTCAGCCGGGCTGGGAAGTTTGGAGGCGAGAAGGTTCAGTATCATGTTTTCGGGGCCTATGCACGAGGTGCGAGCTATGGGGTAAGTCGAAATACTGAGCAGTTCCCCAAACTCCTTCAGTACCTGAACCACTACATAGGTACGCGAGTGAGCAAACCTAGGAAGTGGACTTCGTTGGTTGTTAGTTTCGATAACAGAATGCCTTTGCATAGAGACGTGAACAATCAAGCTACACAACCAAACCTGGTGCTGGGACTGGGTACTTACAGCCGAGGAGGGCTGTGGGTACAAGAGACCGTCCAGGCGAAGGAAATGGGACTTGTCCCAGACAGCTCAGGGCCACTCACCTCTAAGGTCACGCCGCATGGAGAGACCATTTGGGGTCGCAGCTACGAGACCAGGGATCATGTCGTAGAGTTTCCTCCGAAAGCGTGGCATGAGACAGAAGAGTGGAGTGGAGAGAGAATCGTGTTGTCGGCGTACTCCAGTAGAAGTTTGTCGCATTTGGACCAAGATGAACTCCAGGTGTTGCGACGAAGTGGTTTTCCTCTTCCTCCCCGACCCCAAGGTAGTGTAGGAGAGGTCTATGCGGTAGGTGACAGAGGGAGAAGTAGCAATCCCAAACAGGAAACCGAACGATTGAAGCGACAACTTTACCTCCTCCATGCCGCCACTGGACATTGCTCAACCCAACATTTGGTGTCGGCACTCAAACGTCGGAACGCCAGCCCAGAAGTGATAAAACTTGCTGAGGAGTTCAAGTGTTCCATCTGCGAGGAACGAAAGAAGGTGATGCCTCGCCATGTGGCATCGTTGGAGCCTCTTCCCCCAAAGTACCACACTATCGTTGCGGATGTAGGACACTGGTACCACCCCAAAGGTAAGGAACACTGTCAGTTTATGGTGATCATCGATGAGGGCTCCAGATTCCGGGTAGCGAAGATACTCTCGAAAGGACCCAAACAGCAACCGTCAGGTGCAACGTGCGTTCAGTTTCTCCGTGAAGGATGGGCCCAGATATTCGGAAATCCTAGGACCCTTAGGTTGGACCCCGCAGGCAACTTCAGGAGTCAAGCGGTCAGTGACTACTGTAACAGACATGACGTGTTTTTGGATTTGGTTCCAGGGGAGGCTCATTGGAAAGTGGCGGTTGTGGAACAGGCCGTTCAGGGATTGAAGATGGTTATGGACAAGTTGTACATGTCAGACGAGGACATTAGTGCTGAGGAAGCTCTGGCAACGGCAGTGCGTGTGTTCAATCAGAGGGATTTGGTTCGGGGTTTTGCGCCGGCGCAACACGTGTTAGGACAAACCCCCGATGAAACCGGTAGGATAGAAGTGGCGACTCCTGCCCTCCCTCCGGAACTTCTGATTGAGAACCCCAACACTGAGTTCAGGCAATCCGTTGAACGACGTGCACAAGCCGAAAAGGCCCATGCCGAATGGAATGCCCAACAGAGGTTGAACCGAGCACAGAACTCCCGAACTCGGCCCGTGTTTGATTATCAACCAGGAGAACTTGTTTACTACTGGCGTCAACAAGATGCCTCTAGGCACAGGGAGGGCCCCAATTCCAAAAAGGGGCAATTCATGGGACCGGCTAGGATATTGGCTATGGAAACCAAGCGAGAACCTGATGGGACGTTGAAGCCAGGATCGTCGGTGTGGTGCGTTCGTGGTAGGCAACTGATTAAGTGTTGCGTGGAACAACTGCGTAGAGCCTCACAACGTGAGGAACTCGTGGAGAGCCTTGCGGAACAGGACCGCACGCCTTGGACCTACTCCAAGGTTGCTGAGCAAATCGGCGGTAACCAATACGAGGACCTCACGCGACACCAGCCGTCAGTTCCGGAGTGGTGGCGTGCCCAGGACCCTGCTGAGGAGACCCAGCCGGTTCGGACTAGGTTTCGAGGGAAGAGGGCTGCCGTGACCAGCCCAGTTCAGGATTCAGATGAGGAGTTGATTCCTGATGCCGGTAGGGAACCCGCGAGTAGCTCCCGAAGTCGGCCGAGAACCCATCCGCCAGGACAAGCATCCTTTCAGGAGACCCTGACAGGAACGCGATGGTGGGAAGAAGTACGAGAGGACGCATGGTTCAGCACAGAACCGGCCTACTGGTGTGATCAGAGTGCGTGTGTTGAAGTTGAAGTTGAGATGCCTAGTACCGATAGAGCGTGGAAGCAAGCTACAAACAATTTGCAGTGCTACATGGTTGGGGCTTTCAAAAATAGAGCGGTTGAAGTGCGAGAGAAACATCTGAACGAAGAAGAGAAAGCCATGTTCAGAGAAGCAAAAGCAGTGGAGGTTCGCAACTTTATTGCTGCTCAGGCATTCGAGGTATTGCCGGAACATTTGAAACCCAGCTACCAGCAGGCGATAGGCATGCGATGGATATTGACGTGGAAGCAGAAGGAAGACGGCTCACGGAAGGCAAAGGCTAGAGCCGTATTGCTTGGCTATCAAGACCCGTCATATGAACATCGTGCTACCACGGCTCCTGTTATGACCAAACAGTCACGACAACTTCTCTTGCAACAGGCTGCGCGACGACAATGGACTGTCTATAAGGGCGACGTTTCGGGAGCTTTCCTGCAAGGGAGAGAGTACCCAGATGTTCTACACTGTGTACCATGCGATGAAATCTGTGACCAGATGAAAGTTCCACGCGGCAGTATTACGAGGCTCAAGCGAGCCTGTTACGGCTTGGTGGACGCGCCTCTGGAGTGGTATCGATCAGTATCTCAGTTCTTGGAAAGCCTGGGATTGGAACGATCCTGGAGTGACGCTTGTACTTGGATATGGAGAGATCAAGGAGAACTCCGAGGCATTATTTCGGGTCACGTAGATGACTTCTTATTTGCAGGAAGTACCTCGGACCCCAAGTGGCAGGCCATCCTTAAGAAGATCCAAGAGCGTTTCAAATGGGGTGATTGGGAAAAGGACAACTTTGTCCAATGCGGGGTCAAGGTGGAGAGGGTTGAGGAAGGTTTCAGGTTGAGTCAGCCGCAGTTTGTGGAGGGTCTTCAAGAGATTAACCTGAATGCCACACGTCGGAAGGAGCGGGATCAACCGACGAGCGACAAAGAAAAGGGACAGATGAGGGCACTGTTAGGTAGCCTGAGTTGGTTGGCGCAACAAACCGCGCCACACCTGTCAGCCTCAGTGGGATTGCTGTTGTCTGAGATTGCGCGAAGCACAGTGGACACGGTGATACGTTGTAACCTTCTGCTGAGACAAGTGAAACAAAGGAAGCAACACCACATGCTGATACATGCCATTCCCATGGATGAACCTGTGATGATGTATGCTTGGGTTGACGCGGCTTCAGGCAACAGGACTGATGGTGGAAGTACTCAGGGGATTTTCATAGGTTTGGGTCCTCAGGCTATGCTATCAGGAGCTGTCGGGAAAGTAACCCCGGTGGCTTGGCACTCGTCCCGAGTGGACCGAGTGTGCAGATCACCCGGTGCGGCAGAGGCTTTGGCAGCAGTCAATGGCGAGGACGCACTTTACTACGCCAGATTTCAGTGGTCAGAAATGGAGTTTGGGATTGAGAATGTTCGGGATGCTCAAGCTGCTGTGAGAAAGGTTCCGGGGTGTTTGGTTACTGATTCTAGGAATGTTTATGACAAGGTGAATCAGGAGGTTCTTGTAGTGAAGGGCGCGGAGAAGCGAACAGATCTGGAATTGCTCGGGCTCAAAGAGGCGCAAGCTGCTACAAGTTTAGTCATTAGATGGGTCCATTCAGAGGCTCAGTTGGCTAATAGCTTAACGAAGCATGGCAACTGCCCCGAGATCGAGCTGTACTACCAGATGCAACATCAATGGCGTATCGTAGAAGACGAACAGATGAGATCCGCTCGACGCAGGAAGCAAGAGGGCATAGCTCCACTTGCTGGGTGTAACGAAGAGAAGAATTCCTGAGGGAATGTGTTTTATCTTTGAAAAGGGGATACCGGGGCATGCAAGCAACAAGCTTGTGTGATTGCACGCATCCATGGTTTCATCACCGCAGTCTCGGATGCTCGAAGGGAAAAGAAGGACCGCCCTCGATTACTCTTTGTTCGGAGCGCTAAGCCCTCCCATTATCGATTGAGTTAGTCGTTGGCACTCCCGGCATTCGTCTACCTTGAGAACATTGGTGCTGCAGGCGCGCCGGGTCAGGTGACTGACAACCCTAAACCCTAAACCCTAAGCCGCTGGCCTCGGGACAGAGGCATGTCGCAGGCCTTTGACTCCGCTGAAGTCGAGCGGTGACCTGCTGAACGCCGTGCCCACCTGGGCGACTGCGCCCGCCAGCCCATCGAGGACTGTCAATGCCCAGAAAGCCCAATACCCCTTAATTAAGGAATAAGGCTTAAATCATAATATGAAGCCCCACATAATTTAAGCCATATTCCGCAATTGACGGGTATTGGGCTCTCTGCTATGTGATCCACGCTCTTCTGAGTCGTGCGGACCAACCCCTGGCTCGACTGGTGCAACGCGCGCCAAAGCGAAACTCACTATACCCTAAACACTAAACCCCTAAACCCTAAACCCCTAAACCCTAAACCCCTAAACCCCTAAACCCTAAACCCTAAAGGCGTTTCTGCTTAAGCAGGGCTGTAGTTTTCAGCTTTCGGGCTGATCCAGCCACTGCTAGGCAGTGACCCTAGGCGAGGCCCATTCTGCAGGCCCGCGACTCCTGGCGCCTTGGCTTCCGACTCGCTTCCAGCCTTTAGCTGTCGTTAAATCGGCCTACTGGTTTGGATTGGTTGGTGTATGGGTGTCAGTGAATACAAAATCTTTCTGGTGTTTTCTTCTGTTCTTTGCCTGTTCGGCGGAGTCGCTTTGCAACACCACGCCGCGACAGTGGGAGTCAGCGGCACATCGCAGGCAGAGGAAGCAGCGCACAAGAAGCAGAACCATTTTGAGAAATTCGGCATCTGGGACGGCAGTGTACCCAGACACAGCAATCGACCAGGCTGTGAGAGCGCTGGAGTTGCATCATTCCAAGTCTGGTCTCCCAGAGCTGGTACGGAGAGGGCGGAACATATTGATCAGCATGTCGAGCTGGCGTTGTTCCAAGTGCAAACAGCAAGTCAAAGCCAACAGCAATTTCTGCGGTCAATGCGGAAGGCATTGGACGGCAGAAGAGTCTGGCAATGCTTACTTTTCGCAGCCTACTGGGCAGGCTCCGTGGAGATCAAGCACCAAGAGTTGGGAGCAGCAGGAGTGGTGGGGTCGTTCCGAATCGCCACGCCCGACCAAGTCACCGCGGAGACGCAGGCCCAAAAGCCAGGGCCGAGCCGGTCGGGATGGTCAGTTGGCTCCTGTGGCGCCGAAGTCAGCCGATTTGCCGGCTCCACCGGCGGCGGCAACAGTCAGTGCTCCAAGGGTGTTGCTGAGTGGTGGGGCGGGTTCAGGTTCAGGCTCTTCAGGCAACTCGGAGAAACAAGCTTTGGACACACTGTTGAAGGCGATGAGTGCATCCAGGGAGTCTTTACCCCCAGAGCTCTTACAGCTGCTGGAGCAACACAAGCAGGAAGACACTGCCACGGAGGCCAAAAGCCTTCATCGTGCAGTGTCGGCTCAGGCTGCAGCAAAGAAAGAGCTTGCTGCTCTGAGGACCAAGCGTGCCCAGTATGCTGCGTCTTGGGCGGCCTATGTGCAACAAGTCGCCACGACGGTGCAAGAACAGGTGAAACAGCATTCCGAGGTCTTGCAGAGCTAAACTCAGTGGCATCAGGCACTTACCGATGCCACCACGGAGTTATCTCGACTTGCCAAGGAGAACCCCGACGTCGTGGATGTGTCAGGCGACGACAGCGATGTTATGGTGAACGATTCTATCGCGAGTGTGCAGGCAGTGGCTTCTGCTTGCGCAAAACAGCAGGTGCAGACGGATGCGCTGTTGGCCGCACTGGAGGCTGCAAAGGAGCAGGCGGTAGAGGAGTTGAACGAGAGAGAGAGAGAGAGAGAGAGAGAGAGAGAGAGGACGCCGAGGAGGTTGAGGAAAGCGGGGGAGGATGCGGAGACACATGCTCCCCCTCACAAAGCTCCATGACGAGCCTACGGGGACTCATGGAGCGTTCAGACCCTGCAGAGACCCAGACGTTCCCATTGCATAGTATAGTACAGGAGGTTGATTACGTCAGCCCGATGCTTGCAGTGTGGCTCGCTCTGCAGTGGCAGTTCAGCGTTTTATTTGAGGATCAAGGTTTGTCCCTTTGCTGGGACTTGGATCCCAGGATTGAGATGCTGGACGCGGAAACAATCTTCAGCAATCGGTCTGTCACGCCTCATTCCCGTCAGTCTTTCTCTTCACAGCTCTTGGAAGCAGTTCGCAAGGACAGTGACCAGGCATACGGCACAGGGCACCCGTGCGCGAAGGCAGACATTGGCAGTTTCAGCTGTTGTTTGGGCCTTCTCGAGCCTGGTGCTGAAAGGAGGCTCGGTACGACACCCCCCAATAAGCGATGCTCAAAGGTCCTTCGTGCGGCTGTTGCCTCGGATGAATTTTCCTCTGCAGCTGACTTCCAGCTTGAGCCTTCAGACATGAAGCGCCCAAGTCTGCGTGTTCGCTTAACTGCGCAGGTAGACGTAGTTGATGGCTCTTGTAGCGCCACAAGTGCGGTGGCTTCTTTCAGGGCTGACGCCGCAGATGGAGGAAGTTGTGGTTGGGTTTCGGGTCATTTCGTCCAGGATAAGGCTCACCTTGAAGGCTTTTCCAAGGAGCTCCTTCTTCATGAATGCCTGCCCGCTCCACCCCGTGATTCAGTTGAAGAGCTTCAGCACTTGCTTGTACTTGCACAGGCGCCGTGGTTGGATTTTTGGAGGCGTGATGTTGCACCGCTTGAGCTTGACGCAACAATGTGCTCTTACCTTGCGAATGGCCCTCAGCTCGTTGGGACACCGGTGTCTTTCTGTGTTTTTGTGGATGGCTCAGCTGACAAAGGAGCAGGGTGGGGCTTATCGCTCTTTGCATGGAATGGCTTTCACTGGGCTTTCGTTGGTTGGGCGGCGGATGGTTTGCCAGGCCCAGGTGGCACCAACAATGAAGCGGAGTGCCAGGGTTTGGTCACTGCCTTGGCTTGGTGTGCGAGTCTTCCACCATATGTTGGTGTTGAAGTCGTTGTTGACTCCACCTTCTCCAAAGGATGTGCGGAAGGAAGTCTTGGTCTGTCGGACAGAAGGGCTCCAGCAGTTGCTGTCAGACTCCTTATGCAGTTGCTTGAGCAGTGGCAGCGACCAGTTTGCTTGAGTTGGACACCGTCGCATGTTGGTACTTTTGGCAACGAGTTGGCGGATAGGGCAGCGGCTTTTGGCGCCCGCGCTGGCCCCGGTGCAGCAAGGATGCCTGCCTTCCTGTCGAAGTTGCTTCTCCATCCGTTGATGGCTTGGGCTTGGGCGGCTTCGGGGACCGTTCCTGGCCTTGTAAGTTTAGGGCAACTGCAAAAGGGAGAGTATGAGCCTGCCGACAGGGTTCCTGTTGAGTGTGCCCAAGCCATCCTGGATGATTCCAATAAGCAGGTTGGCTCAAGGGCCAAGTTAGTCACTTTGAGGCTGTGCACTGCAAATGTGTGCACGCTGAAAAACAAGTGCCCCGTCCTGCGAAAGCAGTTTGAGGAAGAGCATGTTGCACTTGTTGCTCTGCAGGAAACCCGCTTGTCGTCGGATGCTTGCTACTTTGCTGACGGGTGGATTGTCGTGCAGTCCGCGGCTAGGCATGGTCGTGATGGTTGTGCCTTTTGGTTGAACGTTGACTGTTGGTGCAGGGAGCTCGGTGTTGGCGTCTTTGGGCTTGAGCATGCGGTGGTGCTGAGTGCAAGACATGACTGGTTGGTTGTCCGAGTTAGTTGTGGCACTTTTGACGGCATCTTTGTTACCTTCAGGGCGCCGCACTCTCTTAGGCCGGAGGAAGAAATACGCTGCTGGTGGAAGGCGGCCAAGCTTGACATGCAAAGGCTTAAGAGCTTGGCACCAATCTTTATCATGGCTGATTGCAATGCGCAAGTAGTTTTCGCTGAAGAAATGGTCGTTGGGTCCCTTGCTAGCGGTGGTGTTGAAGACCAGGAGGGCGGTCTTTTGGTGGACCTTTGCTTGGATGCTGGGCTTGCGCTGTCAAACACATTCCCTTGTCACGACTTCCCCGACAAGATGCAAGCCACGTGGCAGGACCGCTGCCTTGACTACATTGCGATACCAGCCCCGTTGATTGTTGGTGCCGAGGTCAAACAGGTTCACGTTGACTTGTGTAACCCGCATGACGATCATCAAGCGTTGTGCGTTGTTGTGAGGGTTCCTTGCAGCAGTGGTGGTCATAGCCAGCTTGCGTTGCGGAAGAAGAGAGTGCGGAAGCGGACCCACAAATGCCCTGGGTGGAACTGCAATGTCCACCGGCATGCGGAGCATATTTTTGAGGTTGCTCAAGAGGCTCAACATGCTCAACAGAAGGAGCGACCCAATAAACCTTTTGTTTCTGCGGAGACTTGGGAGCTTGTTGTGTTCAAAAAGGGGCAACTTTCCGAAAGGCGCAGGTGCAACACTGAGCTCAGGAAGGCTCGATTGCGCGGTTGTTTCCGGGAGTGGGCTCGGGCCTCGGGCAATTCCTTTCACGTTGACCGTGCGCACGTTGACGAAGGTGCCGTCATTTCGTGGAGCGTGAAGCTGCTGTTGGTCTCTGCTAGGATCTCTTCTGCCTCGAGACGGCTTCGAGGTTTGTTGGCGCGGGACAAGCGGCAGTACATCGAGGGCTTATAGTGGGCGAGGCACGTCGTGCTGCTGAGACCGGCGATTCTAGAGCGTTATGGCACTCGCTGCGCTTTTTCCGTAAAAGCGGCAAATGCAAAAGCGCATTCAGGGCGCTCCCGTTCCTTTTGGATGAGCATGGCCGGGTGGCAGATTGCCTGCAAGCCCAAACCGCGATCAAAGGACGGCATTTTGGGAGCATGGAGGCTGCTTTGCGTTGCGACGCGCGGGAGGCCGTCAGCTGTCAGATGGAACCTGTGCAGCAGCGTGCTGACACTTTTGACTTGTGTGACCTTCCTACTCTGTTCGACATGGAACAAGCGATTGTTAAGATGCCCAGGTCCAAGGCCCCGGGGCCGAGTGGTGTGCGCAATGATAGATGGCTTCAACTCGCATTTGGAGGCCCCCCCCTCAATTCATACATTATGTCCTTGGGGGTTAGTAGGGATGGAGAAATGTATTTCGTAGGGGTTTTGGACGTTCGAAGGAAAAGAAAGTCTCAGCAAGCAAGTGCTTCGCGGGCATGGTGCACTTTGTTTTGCAGCTGCCATGCGGACCTTGTCCTAGTTCGGGGAGGCTTTCGGGAAGACTTTGTGGAAATAGTCGGACTAGTTAGGATGCCTGAAATACAGCTCTGGAGGATTAGTTTGGATGCCTGACACGCAGCTCTCGGGTTCGTCTTCACGGCACATCCCCCGGCAGGAAGATTGTATTTCGGGCGGGGGGGCGTGAAATACATTCCGGGGGCCTGGGCCCCTGCCAGAAGGTCCGCCTACGTGTAGTGGTTCGTACTGGATCACATATCACTTCGGTTCTCGCGGTAGCCTCGCAGTGAAGGAAAATCTCTGTAAACCACACCTATTGCCTGTGAAACCTCCTACCACTGACAGGACCTCTGCACAGGGAGAGGTTTGAGGTCAGGCAAGATTGTATTTCGGGAGGGGGTGGGCGAAATGCAGTCTACCACGTCTCACACAAGGGAGCAGGACTTCGTTCTCGGTGTGGTGGGGTTTGGGATGTGGCGTTTAGCCATTAGAGATTAGGGTTCATGTAGGGTGATACTACTGCGGAGATATTGGTGATCAACAGAGTATGGGACCTGGCTTCGCACGGCACCTTGCGGCTCACATAACGGTGCTGCGAATGTTGTGTCCATGCATCTATGGCCAGCTTCGAGCAAGGGCTCGGAGCGATTTGTCATGACTCTGGCAAACAAAACCAGCATGCACTGCATCTTGCGATTTTCTGACCCTCCCCGGAAATACATTCTGGAGCCCGAGGGATTGTATTGGGTAGACGTACGGGCCCCCCGGAAATACATTAGTTGGGGCCGGCCCTTGCGCAATGAACACTGGCTTCGCGACCCTGTTGTGAGTGCAAGGGCCTGGTACCCGATATTGCTGAAGACGCATGTGCGGTTGAGCGAGCCGGCACGCCTTGCAACCGGAATCTTGCACTGTCTCTAGAAAGGCAAAGGTCTGATGTGTCGTGTTGAGAACTGGAGGTCGATTTTCCTCATGGAAGGCGTCGGCAAGGCCAGTAGGAAATGCTTGAGGGGACCTCTGGTCGATCATTTGATGCGCCACTCATCCCCGATGATGCAAGGTTGCAAGAAAAAATCGTGTAGTGCAGCATTGACTCATTTTGCCATCACTTGGTTGAAAGTGCACAAAGCCAAGAAACATGCTGCAGGCCTTCTGTTCCTGGACTTGAGATCTGCTTTTTACCGTGTCCTGCGAGGCAGGCTCCTTGGAGGTTGTTGGAGCGATGCGGCCATCTGTGACGTCTTGACTCAGATGAAGGTTGACCCAGCCCTCTTCCAAGACATACTCTGTTGGTCCCATGGTCCGTCGTTGCTGGATGGGATGAATGGGCACGTTGGTCGAGTGGTCCGTTCGCTCTTTCGTTTCTCAGCTTTTCTTTTACCACAGGAGGGGGTCATGCATGTATCTCGGTCTGGTTCACGGCCGGGAGACGCCATTGCCGACGTTCTTTTCTCGTTGGTCATGGCTGATGCTATGCAGGCCATTGAGGAGGAGCTTCGGCGGGAATTTCCGTACATGTATGCGGAGCTGGATTTGAGCCCTTCACACCCTGTGTGGGCGGATGATGCTTGTTTCCCTTTCTGGACTGAATGTGCTGGTGATGTGGAGGATGTCGCTACTCATGTTGCCCAGATTGTCCACCTGGAGTGCACTAAGAGGGCTCTGGAGCCCAATTACGGACCTGAGAAGACAGAGTGTCTTTTGGTTCATGGGGGGTCGGGGTCCAGACAGGCGCGCAAGCGTGTTTTCGATGGTCCTGGCCTTTTGACGTTTGTTGCTTCGGGTGCCCAGCACACAGTCCACATCACTTCGCAGTACACGCATTTGGGAACGGTTATTACGGATGACCTTAGTCCCCGAAGTGATATCCAACGCAAGCTCGCAAAAGGTGTAGGGCTTCTGCGACCTTTGGCTTCCAAAGTCTTGAGACGGGCTGATGTACCTCTTGCCAAGCGGAAAGAGATCTGCTTGGCATTCGGACCTTCTGCTGCGGGTTTCAACTGTGAAGTTTGGGGTCACTTGCCTGTTGATGTTGCTGGTGCTTGGGTCAGTGGACATGACAGCATGTACCGCATGCTGTTCCAGGATGATCGATGCACTCATGCTCCCAGACATCGCACAGTCTATGAACTCTGTGGGGCTGCCGAGTTACCGGTGCCCCAAGCCAGGAGGAGCATTGCGCGTATACTACATGCAGGAAGGGTTGTCAGCTTGGACCTCTTTCCGTTGTGGTGGCTTCTTGAGCTTGAAGATCAGCTTGTCGATTCTTCGTGGTTGCGTGAGCTACGGATCGACTTGTGTTGGTTGCGGTACTGGGTTCCGGACTTGAGCGCGCTGCGCTTTGAGAGCATGGAGACTGATGAGCTTGCAGTGTGGCTGTCGGAGTGCAACTTGCGCAAGTTGGTTCGTCAAGCTTGGAAGACGCAAACAGGCACACTGAAAGCTTGGGACCTCTGGCAATTTCAACGGAGGACTGCTGGGCTCATTAGGGGTGTTTCAGGGTCGAAGGCCTCCCTGGACAATGAGACCTTAGTTTGTTCACAGTGTGGCTTCGTCGCTGTTTCAGGTTCTCAGCTTGCGGGTCACGTTGGCAAGGTGCATGGTCATGTTAATGTGGCGTGGCAGTACGTGCAAAGTGCCACCTGTCGCATATGTCTCAAGCATTTTTGGACTCCCCGCCGCCTCTTTGAGCACCTGAACTGTCCGAATGGCTGCCTCGCGCAGGCGGTTGTCATGTTACAGCCAGCTGGCGATTGGGAGCTGTTTGATGACACGGGAGCTTTTGACCCTGGAGAGCGCAGAAATTTCCATAAAGCCCCTGTTGTGAGGAAGGCTGGACCTCTTAGGAATCGTCCTTCAGGTTTCTGTGAGTCGCTTTCTTTCTGCATCTTGGAGGCCAGTAGTTTCGAAAGGAGAGCCATCTGCAAGTCAGCCCGGTACTTTTTTCCGGAGAGCGAAGCTCTGGAGATTGCTGTTGAGGCCGCTGAGCCCTCTAAATTGTGCAGAGGTGCTGGTCGTCCCCCTATCATAAACCCTGATGGTAGGGAGTGGATACGACAAGGCTTCCAGCTTTCGACCTAGCCGGCTCTTCTAATTACAGCATGTTTTTGTCAGCCTAAGGGCTGAGGCACGTCCGACGGGACTTCGTCCGCTTGCTTGCTAAACCCTAAACCCCTAAACCCCTAAACCCTAAACCCCTAAACCCCTAAACCCCTAAACCCTAAACCCTAAACCATAGAGCTGTAGTTCTTGGGGTGGGGCCCTGGGGCCCTCTAAGATCAGATATTTGCGACGGTTCCTTCAAACCTAAACCCCAAAACCCTGAACCCTTTTATGCATTTAAGGCGTTTAGGGTTTGGGTTTAGGTTGCCAACTTACTGAAGCCAGCCCTTTATCCCAAAAAACCCCTAGTCCCTTAAAAGTACCCTGAACGAGGTTGTCTTTTGGCTTAACATCCCGTAACCTGAAGCTCCGGGAGCACTGCGCCCTGCCTCGCCCATGTGCCTGTCAAGGCCTTTCGATACTTTGGGGTTCGGGGTTCGGCTTTCGTGCTTAGGGGTTGGGGTTTCGCGTTCAAGGTTTACGGTCTCGTGTTTAGGGGTTCCGGTTTCAGGTTTAGGGTACTATAAGGGGTAGAGGGCGTCAGGTTAAAGGTCGCTCTCTAGCGTAGGTGAAAGAATGGCGCCACACCTGGAAAAGGCTATTCTTCTAGACACTCTTGGGGTCGAGGTAGGAATAAGTCTCGAAGTAGTCGGAGTATCGTCCGAGAAGTTCTTGCACTTAACAAAGCAGGCAAAATCCCAGTGTGCTACTCATCTACTCTGCCGAAGCGTATCCTGTCTTAGGTTCGTAAAACCGATGCCTTACATCCAAGGGTTGAGGATGCGGCGGTGTGGGTTGAGTGGTTCAGAGGTTGTACCCAGAGACTCCAATATCCCTCAATTAAGGATGTTCCTTAAATCATATTAGGGATCCTACCATAATTTAAAGAATATATACTTCATTCCTTAGATTATATAATTATATATTCCTTAAACTATACTATATGCTCCTGAATTAAGGGATATTGGAGTCTCTGGGTAGGGCAGATCAAATTTTGTGGTGCGGCGTGGCGAACCTGCCTGAACCATCGGAAAGAAATCTCGTCCTTCGTCATCCAAGAAAGTGCCCGCCCTAGAATACGGCAAACCATCCTTTCAGGATTACCTTATAGGATCCTGGATATGAACCACAAGAGGAACTACACTGGAGCCTATAGGTAGCCTCATGAAGCTGCCGTAGAACCAGAAACCTAGACAGTTCCCTGGCATCAAGAAGGGTTGACATCAAAATTGAATTAAGACGCATTTGTATAGTAAATAAACAGATCGGCTTCCCCGGGAAGATAAAACTCAATCGTGCCTTGGATGGTTTTGTCCAACTGCGACTTCATCTCCATTAGCTTCTCTTCCCGGAGGGCGATCATGTCATCTGAGCTGGATGAAAGGGGCTTCAAAAATCAATTGAGGGAGGTTATTGCTTGTAAACAGGGATTCTACTATTCAGGATTTTAAAGCCTCCGTGATGTTTGAAGAAGATGGGTGTTGAGGTGTTGGGGTTTCAGAAGCAAGCCCCATGGGCCGAACCATTGTGCTCTAAGGACTTCAATGATACCCGACACTCTCAAACCCCGAAACCTTCATCCCGCCAGCGCATCTGTGCATGCTGGAAACACTAGGTGTTCAGTAACGATTCACGGGTCCTTCGCCTGGCCTAAACCACCGAATACAATAATGGCCCAACACCTAAAAGAGGATGCTATTCTGCATGCTTTCGATGTCCAGTCACGTGAAGACTCAAGTAAGTTGGGAGGCCTCACTTTGCGGCATTGAACCCCAAACCCGAACCCTCATGTATGCGGCCGGAAGCCGGAATATTTAAACTCGGGGGTACATGATGTTACTATAGCTCTAACTATGTACCCTTATGAACAGTGCCACCCTAAACCCTCAATGTTTGAGTCTTCAAACCCGTGGGGGCACCTGGTCCCTCTAGTCTCTTAGTGCTCCTTCTCATCGGTCTCCGTCTCACATTCCCGATTAGACCCGTACATCAGACTTGCCCTGAAGATGAAGGCTGAAACCACCCATAACAACCTCAGGAAAACTAAACACAACCACCTTAACCACCCGACACAAGCAACAACAGGCAAAAACCCATCGTACAGCAATCGAACATCACAAAAAGCCGCCACTAGCATTTAAATGGTTTCAATAAATGCCAGAACAACCCTAAACCCAACAGCCATCCTGGCCCTTGAACCCTTAAAATGCTAAACCGTAACAAAAACCTCTAGAGACCTCATACCCCCAAGATGTCCCAAGCCCTGAGCATTATAACAAGGCTAGCGAAACCAGTCGAGCGACACTCTTCACCCAACGAGCTGTCGTGCGAATCAGAAGAGTTGCCTCATAGGGTTTCATGGGATCTTGGTTGTGTGAGGAGGACTTTCAGAAGGGCTTCATACTATCTAGCTTTTGTTAGCATAGCAGCATTGGTTGTGCAGGGATGTTTTGGCGTACCGAAAGGAATCTAGTAGGCGCCGTAACGGATAGTAGAATCCTTGTTTCAAGGCTTGATTAGTTAGTAGCCGCAAACCCGCATCGTGCCAAACGCCAAGAGGCTCAAACTTTGTGGGGAGGCAAGGATCAACAGCTAAAACAAGCAGCGGAGTTCTGCGATGGGGGTTCAAGCATAGAGCCTTTGACAACTTGCCAGAAGCCCCCTAAGCCTAAACTAGGACTCAGAAAGTTAAACCCGAAGCGGTTCCGGGTTGAGTCTCTCGTGACACTTCGGTATCCAGTCATCCGAGATATGAGGATTGGTCTGCATGATGTGAACCCTCATGAAACTGTGTATAATCATCATATACCCGATTCCCATTCCAGCTGTTCAATCCTCAGCACTAGATCTTCCCTCTGAAGGAACCACTGAGCACTGGGCAAATCCACACGAAGTGCTGCTGCTCCGAATGTGCCACACCCTCCATGCTAAACCTCGGATGAGGGTTCGGGGCTTCGGGTTCAGGTTTGGAGCACGAGCAAACTGACCGTTTACAGGGGGGTCAGCTACACAGGTCGACGCTGCAGATGCAATGTCAAATGACGTATACGCATGTGTGCCTTATGCGTATATACATATATGCATATATGTATGCATGTACATATGTAAGTATCTGTTTATGCATACACGTATACCTGTATATAAATGTATATATACACAGGATATAGGATTCGGCTTCTTTCTGGAGGCACTGCGGGCCAGAAGTGGGAACCCTCTGAAAGGGCAAAGCGTGTACCAACTGTGTCAATCTCAGCTGGTACTCACCTCATGCCACAGAACTCTGCTCAAGATTTGGCAGCGACGACTGTGTTAATTGTGGCAATTAGCCTCATTAGCGAATAGTAAAGATGCAGCGATTAACAAAGGAGCCTAAACAATTACCTATACTGTCTTGCAGGGCTCATTGAAACAGTTATAGTATAATGGGCCCCAAACCCTATTCTCATTATTAAGGCCCCTACATTATGGTCACAGTGATTGTCGTTGTCCACCCAGTCCCACGATGTCGGCGAACAATCGCAGGAACGGTAGGTCTAACAGTAACTGAAGTACAGCCAAAAAATAGTGCACCCAAATTTCCGTCAGCTGCGGAGTTTCAGGATGAGTAGGTGTAGTGTGGTCTTCGAGCCTGCTAGGGTTGTTGCTTCATGTTGCTTCAGAGGCCTTTGTATGCCTGGAAGCGGCGCAAACTTCGCAGGCAATGTGACGGATAAGTATGGAATAAACTCCGGGCAGTTTGCAGTAAATGCCGGGCCGCGATTTAAAACCCTGAACAGCTGGTACTTTCGTCTAACCCCGGTGTATGCGTCTATCTCTACAGGCACACCAAGAAAACATTAGACTTGCATCTACAGGTACCTATCTTCTCGAGCAAGCCGGGACATCGAACCTAAAGACGGCGGCGCGAAGTAAGGATCTGAACTATTGAAGGCGGCTTCGTGCCCAAGAAAATCACGGCTCTTAAACTAAATCAGAAAGAAATGCCACAAAATACACACCATTACTTACAGTACGGGTCTCCGTTTGCTGACATACAGTCACGGAGCCAGTCGCATTGAACCAAGCTGGACATGAAGGCTGCCTGCGAACATAGAGGTGTCTCTCACCTAAGCCCCGAACCAGCAGGGGAATATACAAGGGTCTTGAGAATCAGAAATACGTCAGAAATACGGTCTTCAAGAAACATCATAGTACAGTTGTGCGAAGGAACCCAAAGAAGACTTTGGGAATATTCTAGACTTCTATATTTCAACATTTTGAACTGCGACTTCAAGGATGTGAAGGCCGAGGAGGGATGCCATTCAAAGCGTCCCTGGCCCATTCCTTAAGGACGAAATGAACCCTAAAAGGTTTTAAGTTGCGTATACCATGTAGGGATTCATAGTATATGGGTATAGGGCCCCTACTTTTCGGGGTCATTTGGTCCTTCAGGTTGGTTCACTGAACCTGGGATCCGGTAAACCCGAAACTTCCTTCATACCCTACTTAGAGGAGCATGGGACTCAGTAAGGAGGGTTGTAAGTGCCGGAATTAGTTAGGGCTATAAGTAGATAATAGATACGAGTAGTTGCCTTAAAGAAAACCCTAATTACTAAGTCCCCTGATCCTTCAAGCGGCCTACTACATGAAACAATGAATGAAGCCCTGTGTCCCTAGGGCAGAAGCGGAAGTAGACCACACCTGTAATCTTGCACCCTGAAACCAATTCGCCGAAGCCCCCAAACAGGCAGCCAAGAAAAGCCTCCTGCACCACTCCAAAAGAGTCAAGAAACCAACATCCCTTAGGGGTTTAGGGTGTATAGGGCCCTAAACCCGAAGCCACTAAACCCTAAACTACATAAACCCCTCTCTCCCTCAAACCCTAAGCCCCCGAACCCCAAACCTGAATCGAAGAGGAGCAGATCAAGCTTTGGCCTGGCTCACCGCCAGGAGCACCGCCCAGACCCAATAGCTCAGGAAGGGCAGAACGGGGAACATCGTCCTTGGCTTAGGGTTTCAGGCATAACGCGGGTGTCTGTGCGTGTGTGTGTGTGTGTGTGTGTGTGTGTGTGTGTGTGTGTGTGTGTGTGTGTGTGTGTGTGTGTGTGTGTGTGTGTGTGTGTGTGTGTGTGTGTGTGTGTGTGTGTGCGTGTGCGTGTGCCCAGGTTACGAGACACTGACCCAACAAGCCACCAAGTTAGAAGTTCACTCGCCATCAAAGGGTAATTAGAGGTATGGCAGGTTGATGGTTTGCGTGCAGATTTCGTTCGCCAGACTCTCCTTCTTGTGAATAATAGTCGATGGAAAACTCGACACCAACACTCTGGTCCGCACATGAGTTTCAGAGAAACGGCGACACCAAAATTGACCGCAGGTGCTGGAACTGCTACGTGATTCGTAATTAGATGTAACATAAACCCCAGAATCCACACATCCTTGTACAGGACCCTGAAAACGGGACTGCATGTTATCATCTGAACCCCGCAACTATACAGCAACTAGAACCCAAATCCGCCTTCCGGAGTCGAAAGAACAAGAATTATGCACCTGTGCACCGGTAGTTGGGGAGAACCCGACAAACCTACAAGTTGGGTGTAGGGTGCTACACGTGTACTATGGGTACGTCAAACAGCTTTACATACGTACACATATGCATACATACGTGCATACATACGTACATACATACATACATACATACATACATGTGTATATATGTTTCGGTGAGAGATAACTATACGTATTCAGATATCGTGGCGAGTATAGGTAGCTTCAGCAACAGTGTCTGCCGGGGTGGGAGTCTGGCGGTGACGCTCATGCAAGCCCCTTGAACAACCGTACGTAGATAATCAATCGGATAAACAGTGGACCCACGAATAAAAGGTATCCCTACCTTCACCCCTAAAAGCCTGCCTTTTACCTTATACAGGGCTCAGCAAAACAGACGTATGCTACAGAGGCGTAGCAAAGGTCGGTCTTGTAGGGTTCAGGTCATTTCAAGCTGCGAAAAAGCGGCAAGGACAGAGCTGCACCAACTCCCGAGGCCAGTCTCAGGGCACTCTGGAAATCAGCACCGTGCCAGCCGACGAGGCTGCAAGAAAGGTAGTACCTTTGGGTAGGTTTGCAGGTGTCGACAGAAAGGAACATCCGTTCGTCTGAATCCCTCGACCTTGCCCCTTGACCTAAAACAAACCCTATAAACCCTAAACCCTAAAGCCTTTTTTGCATCCAGGCCGATTGCGACTGCCGGGTACCCCTGAAGAAAAAACTGAGGGTCAGGCAAATCTGCAGCAGTACTCACTGTAACACCCAACCAAACACACAAGACATAGTGCCTTTAAACCCTAATGCCAAGCGAGACGAGCCACATGACACAGTACTTGGCCCGGGCAAGCAGGAAATACTGCGGTGTCTGATGCTGGACGCGATCCTGGATTTTCAGGTTCAAGGCTTTAGGGCTTGTGTTTTTTTATTTAGAGTTAGAAGGTTTTGAGGTGTAGAGTGTCAGTGTGTGTTAGCCACTTCTCCAAAACCGGGCCAAAAAAGTTCAAACTCCCTATCATACAGCAGATATATCATGCTAGGAAGTTTAATTTACAGTTCTCCATTGGGCTAAGAAGTAAGTAGAATTTTAAAAACGAAAATTTTAGAGCTTTCGGCCTGCCTGTGGTCGTATGGTTTCGAATGCGATCTCTGAGGGGTCCGAAGGGTCTTTATACACGGTTTAGGGTGATTTTCAGTGGGGCTTAGGTCTATGAGGACTGTAGAAGGTCTCTATACTGGGCAACTACGTAATCAATATAGGGTTTGAGGCTTACGACCAGGAGCGGTTGATTTCGAGTTGCTCCAACCAGTCCAAAAACGCATGAAGAGCTAAACATGAACAGTTAAACTATAAGAAATAAGGTCTATCTATCATACTTTGAGAGAGAGCAAGACCACAAAACCCTGAAACCAAACCCCGTCCAAACCCCGTAACAACACAGCTCCAAAATCGTTGGTCGCCACGCTCACCTCAAAGCTACTCCAGTGGTGCCAGACCACTGGGCCGACTGTAAAAGGAAACTGCAGGGGCCTTGTTTCACAGCATTTCATACGGTTTTACACGGTGTTAGTATCAGCAGCTCTTAGCACAGCTGTTTTAACGTGCCAGTGGATCAAAGGGCTCGGGTGCTTAGTATTAGGTGATAGTAGGTGGTAAACATAGAGGCCACAACCCTAAACCCTAATTCGAGCCACCAGACTTATAACCTCTACGTAGTACCTATTTACCAAAGCCCAGAAAACCAACTTACTCGATTAGTCAAGCTATATCTCGTATGCTGTTTCTGAAGGATCGCTCTACAAGTTCAGTACAAGTTGGCTGATACTCCCTTGATTCAAGCGGGTTGCGCTCAAGAACACTTGACTGAGTACTTGGGGGGCTCAAAGCTTCGACCTGCGCTGTGTTTTCATGCTTTGACTATCTAGTGCTTACCCTAGGACCCCAGTAACCTAAATAGTAGGCTACTGGGGTATAAAATCTATGGTTAGAAACCTACTATCTAGGTAACTGGAGCCTTGGGGTCAGGGTTTGAAGGTTTCGGGAGTACCCAGCAAAGCAAAGCCGCCGACCCACCCGAAGCTGTGGGCGGTCACCAACCTGATACGTATCGACAAGCGGCATACTCGTTGCTGTAGACGGCAATAATCAGATTCCTCGGCTTCAGGTCGGTTTAGGGTTAAGGGTTTAGAGTGTAGGGTTATGAGCTCGAACCTGTACCGCTAGCAGGACCAATGTACGATCCAAGTCAGAAACCCACCAGTATTTCTACAAGTCCTACCTGCACCTGCCCAACCCTCGTAGAAACCAGGCTTCAGATGTGAAAGGCTTGCCCAGGGCAAATTTTCGGAGATATGCTTTTCACTCGGGATCAGACACTGCGCGTGCAGTGAACAAAGCTTGGGGCCGTTCCCGAACGAATGCCTTGCCACCCAAGGATGTACAAGTCTGGCGTGCAAAGCTTCGGCGACCATCGGTAATGGCTGCTCTCAAGACATCCATCTGCAGACGTCTGTCCGTGGCTCCCCCACCAAAGCCGGGCCCCGAGCCACTTTGGAGCCAGAATCCTGGCAAAAGCGTGGCCGCCACCGCGAACCGGCACGCCAGCCTGTTCCTCATGTTGGGGTTTCCCGCCCATCGAGACACAGTTCCCACAAGCCCTGCAAAGGAATTGAGATGAATCGAGCCTCGTGGCTTCCGTAGTTGACGAGGTGGAGGGCATGTCGCACAATTCATACAGATCGCGTGTTGGGCCACGATTCTTGACGCACGCAATGGGCGACTCTCTGACTGGCCAGCAACGGCCCAGTGGGCAGTGTTCTACGGTTTCCAAATATAACCAAACAGCCCAGCTTTATCTTGCAATCCAGAAACCCAAGCTAACCTGCCAGTACACTGCGCAGCAATTCAGTTTTCATTAGGACAACGCAGCATGGTCTCTTGTGTGGCCTCATGAACTCGCAGACTCATACTCCCTCCCGCCTCGCGCATATGCAGCCTAAGGTGCAGGACAATGATGTTGAAGAAGGTAGACCCGATGAGATTCACAGTCATCATGAGTATGTCGTTCTTCTCAAACATGTCCTTCCGGGATTGAGACTTCCAGTTTTGGGCTCGAAGGTGAACACTTGTGCTTCAATGGAAATCGGTCGAATATTGCTGGGGTTACCTCTCCCCCTGCCGACTCTTCGACGTCTAATAGGAACTGTTTTTTTTAGGAACCGACACATCAGAACAGCTGCTACAGAAGCAACAACAAACCAATTGCTTTGGGGATTTAAAGAGGTTAGGACAAGGTGCTGCAAGACGAAGGGATGCCGTCCGATTCTGTATTCTTCGTGCCATGGTGTTTACGGGACTGGCTTCACACATGATTAGAAGACTGGAGCAACAGGCCGAGGAGTAACAGCATGACGACGGCTTAGGGTTTCATGTTCGGGTACCCTGACCACCTTGGCCCTGAAGCACGAGAGAAGTCGCACGTGATTTAGCAAAGGTCAGGTAAAGTCGTTCTAGGTCACGCGTGCCTGAACCCTGCACTGATCAAACCCTCTGCCCTAATATAAGGGGCCTAAGTAATTTCCAATACTATTTTGGGGGATTCCTTATTATCATGAGCCCCCAAAGCACTATTTCAATTTTTAAAGCCGCTATGCCGCAATGAACTGCAGCATCTCGAAGACAGAACACAACACTCGGCTGTCCAGCGAATTCACACTTAATGTGAGCTTCCGCTTTCCTTAGCCTAACCCCCCAGAGCAAAACCTAAACCCCTTTACTTTAAAGGCCTAGACCCCAAACCCTAAGCCCCTTTACTTTAAAGCCCTAGGCCCTACACCCCCGAAGACCGTCTACTTTAATTTAAGGCCCAAACTTCTCCGCTGAGCCCCGGAGCCTCACTCGCTTTGGGTTGTGGGCTTGGCTGTATCGGGTAGTAGGGCCTCGCCAACCCCAACAACCCTATGGAAAACAACAAATCTAAATCCGAAAACCCTCTAGTCTAAACCTAAGCCTAAGCCCTAATACGTTTGAACAACGAAAGCCTAACTTTAAGATGACCGGAGACTCACCTGAGAAGCAAGAGTCCTCGTGAACGTTCAGGCCTAGATTATCGAGGCCGTTGCCGTCGTGAAAAAGCAGTCCTCTCGAGAGGTTAGGGTCCGGTGTGTAGGGTTTCGGTCGCCCGAAGCCCATACAAGAAGTCAGCCAGAATTACACATAAACTTGAACCCCAAGCTGCGCCCCAAGCCTAAACCCCGCAATCTATCCAAAATCCAATGCAAAAAAAGCAACTCAGCCTACTACCCTAAGCCGAACCTCCACGACAATCACCCAACCGCAAACCCTACAATCAAACTTACAACCCTATATGTGAGCCGTCCTTTGTGGATGCCACCTAGAACATATTTACTTCTGATAGCAACCTTTTTTGCAGCAGGGATAGCACCCTAAGCCCTAAACCGGGTATTCGGATTCGGCTTGGCCCTGCCCCTTTGAAGGCTTCTTGCCGCGCAAAACGAACTTGCTCCACGATGACGGCTAATATCGAAGCCTTACAATTGCGGTGTCATGTGCAGGACTATAAGAAAATGCAAAAACCACTAGCTGCACTGGCTACTTATTCAGACCTGTATGTTAGACAGCTAGGCTGTGCAGTTTTGGCAAACAGAGAACCCACGTAAATCAAGACATAAACAACCGTTTTTGCAGATAACCATGAACCAACTACAGAAACCCTGCAAGCGACACGGAAGGCAGTCGTTGAACACCAAAGTTTTAAAACTTGAACCCGACCTGGACCCCTAAAGTATGTGTAATGATAGTCTTTTAATAGGCTTTGGGCCAGTATTTTACCTACTTTGGGGTGTCTAGGGAAAACCTATGCCGTAAAATCTCCACATGGGCCTCGGTAGGCCGACGCAAGCACCCAACCATGATCCTGGCCGGGTAGGGCTTGGGGCTTTAACTAATGTACTTTTTTTGAGAGGTATATTTGGGCTTTAACTAATGTTAAGTTTTTCAAGGGGTATAGTGTTCAAAAGTGTGCTATATAGCTGTCTCCAGGGTTCTGTGGGGTTCTATGAGGGCAAGGAGGGTTTTGGAGGGGTTGGGCTTTTGCATTGGGAAACTGGTCAGGATGTAGGGGTTAGAGGTTTAGGTTAAGGGGTTGGGGTGCAGGGCTGGGATGTCCAAGGATCACAAGGGTGCTCAGATATTTTACAAAAGTGCCGACAACAAGACATAACCGGGAACTGGAGGGGTGATGTCACGCATCAGAGGTCTAGATGTTGGCCTCCGTTCGTGGTGCATTATGCATTTTAGCACGCTCCCATGTGTGTGTGTGTGTGTGTGTGTTTAGGGTTTTAGGTTTCGACATGTCTCGACGCTCTCACTCGCACAAGGCAGGCAAGGCTCCGCACAGTCCACGACAAAACAAGGCAGCGATCCGAAGCAACCAACCACTGAGGGCAGCCAATCTAACATCATTAAACCTGCATAAGCCCCAATATGCTCCCAACCGCTATCACACCTAGAGAGGGGGGCATTGCCTCGACTGTTTCAACGTGGGTCACCTTAGCCTCTCTGTCAGTCCTAGCAAGACCAACCCACCAACTCCTGCCACAAGTACTTAACAACCACCTCAACAAGTGCGGCAGAGAGGACCCTGCACGCTAGCACATCACGCAGAGACGACGAAAAATGTGAAACATGTACACAGCGGGACTAGCAAGAGCGTAGCGATCGCACAGCACTCAAAATGCAGAAGTGGGCCACACACTCACAAAGCTCGTGCAGGTTCTATGCATGCATAAGACCCCCACCCTAAACTCGAAACCGCCGTAGCTGCAGACCCTGAACGTTGCCTTCCCTTTCGCCACAATGAGAAATGCCAGTGAGAACGACGCGAAGATCATCAGGGTGATGACCTGAACTTGAGTTCCAATGCGCAAGCCAAGGTTTAGATTGAAAGGCTCAGGCCTAAAACTCTGTAACGCCTGCTGAGATGGAGGATCCCTCCATGTTTGAATGTCCCAATGCTATGGTATGTAGGACTCACTGTATACAGCACAAATAGATATATACCTATATTTACATACGTAAATACAGACAGACAGACAGAAAGAAAGACAGGCAAACCTCAGGCAAACATACACACCAGACCAAACAACACCACACAACCGTGGCGCAGGGAAACCGCTAAGCAGAAATCCGACAAAGTCTGCACAAGTTATGCTTAAAGGACACTTGTGTAGCTGAAGTTGCTGCATCGGCTAAGGATATTGGGAACGAGAAAGCTTCTTTTGCTTTAACACATGTTTCACTACCAGATCACTATCTGGGTTGTAGTTTTAGGCTCTGAAAAGTATTTATGAATAGGTACCTCTATAGGAACCATAAGAGAAATTAAAAAGTTTCCCAAATTGCCACCTAGCTATGTAAGATTCTGAGACCCTCGCACCATAACAGAGAATCTCGTGGCTCTTGCTGCTCGCTTCGGGCTTAGGGCCTATACGTTGAGGTTGAGGGTTTTCGAGGGGTTAGGGCCAGGAGTTTACGGCTTTGGATTTTTTTCCCTCCAGAAAATTTAGGGTTTTCGATGATCGTTTAGGGCTCAATGCTTAAGCGTCAACCTAAACCACCAAAAGTAGGTAAAACAATATCATAGCCCAACACCTAGAAAAGGCTACTATTCGACATGCTTTTGGGGCCTAGGTAGGACGGGCAGCCGTCACGTGGCATGACTATGTTGTTTTGGGATTGTCTTGAAGGTCACAGTGGGGCGAACTGCGAGTGAATGACCCAGACCTCTTCCAGCTGGGGCTGGGTCCATATCACCATCTTGAAACGAAGTCGCATCACCAAGGTAAAGCCTATATGATTGATGATCTTGTTCTTCAATACCGTTGTCTTAAGAAGGTAGTTATAGTGCTTGGTGCACCTTTTAAACTTAGCACTCTCAAACCTATCTGGCTTCTTAGTTCACACGCATACACGGCCATCGAGGCTTCATACGGGATCTACATTCCAATTATTTTCCACGGATGTGTCGGCTCAGTTTCGGACAATCATCTGCTTTGTCGCCGCACCAAGCAAAGAACCTGAGCTTCTCGCCACAAGAACCACGCTTCACGGCAAGACTTCGTGCTGAAAGACGTGAGGGGCGGGATGGGGTCGTTGAGCGGCCATGAGCCAACAATGTCGTTGAGGGTCTTCAGCTTTTGGGGGTGCTGGCTTCTGCAAACACTGGACAATCTGACATGAAAGCTCCCGATGATCTCTCTCTCGACCAAAGCATGGGCTCTTACCCCAAGCACCACTGGACCAGGCCTTGGGTGTAGAGGGCTGCAAACGACGTACGCAACGGAGTCATGTGGATCTAGCAAGCTGCTGAGACGGAAAATCTGCAATCGTTCCACTGCCACAACTCAGCTCCATGTTTCTGACCTGCACTGTAGGAATTCCATGCTGAAGCACCCTGAAATCCCAGCTCTTCTTGGCTATGAGTATGCTAAACGCATGAACCCGACCCAAAACCAGGATCTGTTCCTGTTGTAACCAACGTATTATCTCCATGCAGCCTCACAGACGTGCATTGCTTTTCCAGGACGGAGCCGTTCTACATCAGGGGTCCCAATCCCTTCAAGAAATCTACCATAATTCGGTACTGGCTGATTGCGTTTAGCATCAAGTCAGGGGCCAAGATCAGAGCGACCTTCGAATCGAGGAGCTTACTCGTTCTTTGCTTACCCAGAGGCCCCAAAGTAGTTCCTTTTTGAAATTACCCTATAGGATTCTATATATGAACCCCAAAAAGGAACTACTTTGGGGCCCTTGGGTAAAGCACAAGAGTTCCACCTGGAAAGAGCTGGATTCTATCTGTCCCTCCAAGGTCTACTTGGGTAGTCGTGAAAATTAAGGTCCCTGTTTGGGTCCCTATTATGATACGGCACCTATTTTTTAGGGTACCCCAAAAGGGGCCCTAATTTTTGACAACCACCCACTTAGAACACACACCACCCAGATGGAGGGCTGGAGATGGCGTGGATGCGAACGCCGCTGGTGTGGAGTCTCACCCTCAGCTGTGCGAGAGTCTGATACATGGGCCTGAATAGTTAGAATAGGGTTTTGGGGCCCATCATACCATAATTAGAAGAAGGAGTCCCCCAAATAGTATTGGCAATAATTTAGGCCCTATAGTAGTGCTTTGCTCAAACGTGCAGCAGCAGGGTTCGCGTTGAAAGGCATGGGGGTCTGTGGGCTAGAGAGTGCTGTGCGCAAGTGGTGTGTAGCAGTCCCAGAGCCTTCACAAGGTACCCAAAAGTGCACAAATCCAAAACCATCTGACCCTCATAGTTCTGGGTTCGGGACCACTCACAGGAGGGCGCTCTATGGAGCTGAAAGGTACTCCTTTAAGGAAGCCTTGGGAATTTGTGGAGATGGTTGAATTCGGGCGTGGGGTACAAATATAAAGGCCTGACCCACTGATCTCAGCCATCCAACAGTAGTTTTGGTTTAGGGATGTTTAGGGGGTTTAAGGTTGGAGATTGCAAGGTCTTGTTGTACTGGTAGTACTCGGCACGGTCCTAAGCATGCCGATGGATTTGTAGATCCAGGCCAACCCTGTCAAACGATTCAGGCGCAGTTCGTGAGCTGTTGAGTCAGATACAAGTAGGACTGGAAGAAAGTCCGGACTCTGGCTACGCAGCCAAGACGCATGTAAATGCAAAGCCAGCTCTTTAGCAGAACGCAGCTCACCATCAGCATGTGGTCCTTGCAGTGCCGCTCACAGCTGGAACAGTGCCCTAAAATAGGGGCCTGAATTATTGTTATTACGATTTTGTGTCATATTACTAGTCTGCGACTATTGTCAGGAATCGCAGTGCAAGGACCAGTACCTCAATATAAATTCACGCAAGCCATACAAGTCACTACGTCGATAGAGGTTTCAGTGAAAAGCTTCGTCAAGCTTCCGTCGAATTCAGGGAATTTCAACACTCAAAGCTTTGCTCGATATACGCGCCCCAAAGTTTGAGGCAGCAGTCTACACCTTAACAAGAACACATCAGCGATGCCGTCATCCAAGCATCCCATTAGCTCAAGAAGCAACAAGTGTTGGAACAATCCTCCGTCCCTCGCCACTCGTCCTAACTATCGATGCATGCCCTCATGCGCGTGGGTGATGTTTTAAGCGGGACAAACTTTCAAGCTGAAGCGGTAGCCACAACATCCCTGCACACTGTCGTCGTAGTCGAAAGTGTGCCCCCAGCCCTCTTCTAACTACCTCGGCCCCTCTCGATTCGTCGCGAAGCCTCCCATCAGAAGCAGGGTTTAGGGTTTAGGGGAGGAACGCATCTAAAGTCCATCATCCACGATTCTCAGTCTAACCTCCATCTGCACTTGCCTCTACACCCACGGAACCCGAATCATTTACGGCCTGCCTGCCAAAACCTTGCAGCCCCCACCCCCACAGACGCAGAACTTCAGAAGAATGCCGTAAAGTCGGAACCTGAACTTCGACTTCCTAAACCCTATAGTATAGGGCCCCAAAAAAGCACAGAAGCAAACATGAGGTTAGGGATATATGGTATAATGGAGCCCAATAAGGTAGGGATATCCCTATAAAATGATTAGGCTCATGTGCTCGTTGGGTCCCTATTTAATACTCTATCATCGCGACTTCGACATCCCCGCCACACCTCCTCCGAGTGTGCGAACAGCTGCTGGTGGCTGATGGCACCTCATCAGAAAGTTAGGGTTCGGCGATCGCACGCGACTTCTTGGAGGGTCATGGGGCCTTCTTATATCAGGTATAACCCAGGAAATACTTAGGATGATCGATGGGATGTACGTACGACTTTACGTATAATCTATACACAAGTCCCCGGATCCTGCAATCAGGGGCTTCGGTGCCCATTCTCGACGAGGCCTGGCATGCAAATAAGGTCCTTGATAAATCGTGTGCATATAGTGAGTGTTGGTATATATTGTGCTATGTTGTAATGGGAGCTGAAGGCATGTTATTAACTTTTCCAATACCTAGCTGCATACATACATACAAACATACATACATAATATTATACAGACAAAGTATGAGGACATGGACCCTTGGGCCTGAGGGTGTTTGGGCAGCAGCGGTTCATGATCAAGCACGACACGAGGTGAACCAGTCAAGCCGAACACGCATGCAGCTTAGATGTCGACGGCTTCTCTGCACTTAAACATTAGCCGGCAATGGAAGCCACTTACGGTGAGGCATAGCGTCATAAGTGCCCAGCGAAACATCCTCAATCCCACAACCTGACGAAGGAAAAAAACAATTCCTGAAGACAGCACCCTTAACCCAGATCCCTGCAAGTTATTCAGGGCTTAGGTTCACTTTTTTGGGAACCGTACTTGGGAAATTGGACCAATTTAGGGTTTACGGTTTAGGGGTTGAGGGTTTAGGGTTTCGAGGCCCAGAACATCCACCGACGGGGAGGAACTGGATATTACAAAGTTGCGGAAAACCGCTCTTTGCGGGCCTAGGGGCAAAGCCTCAGACCCCACCTACAGCAGACTCTCCATCAGCCTCTACCAGACCCCCAGTCGGGGCCATTGATCCCTGCGAGGGTCCTGGCGCAAAACCCAACAGTCTTTGAAAGCCCGAGGAGCCGTAAGTAAAGCCAAGCTGAATCATGGCCAGCACCAGCCTCAAAGATATCGAACCAGTGGTTTTGCAGTTCCCTTGGCTCTTTAGCTCCTTACTTAATAGGGATTATCATCATCCCTGGCTCCTTAGCTCCTCCAATATCAATGGTTAGATATTAAACCAATGGCAGTTTTCCGACAGCCACCCTACAACCAGACGCTGCCTGGCTAGAGCCCGCAAAACCCAGAGGCTCCATCTATAGCACCATTATGGAATTAGGTCCCAAAAGACCATCCATATTATGGCTTTGGGAGCCTCATTCCATAATGGTACTATATATAGAGCCCGCAAAACAAACAGTTCTCTGGCGCGTCAAAAGGAGCCATCATTTAGGGCTTCTGGGTTTAGAGGTTTTTGGTTCCAGGGGTTCTGGGTTTAGCGCTGCGGTTTAGGACCAAGTTCGATGTCAGAAAGACAACCGCAAGTTGACAAAGCTCCAAGCTGTGTTGGCCGCATTGTCACTGGTAACAGGGCCTTGAACACCCCGGTGGATCCTGTGTGGATCCCCAGGACCCCATACCCTAATGATAGGACTGGGCTGTAACCAAATGAGCCCGTAATTAACCGGATAGTGGGACACCGGAGGTTGGATCACCCTCCTTTTTTGGTCTGTGAGGGGTCTCTTATCAGGGCTCCGTTTGTCGGATGTGTTCGTTAATGCCGTCTTCAAAGTGGTATCCTAGAAGAGGACTTCCATGTCCTCAGGGATGGGTATAAGAGAAACGGATCACAATCAACAGCATGGCACGCAAACCAAACATAAACTTGACATAAACACAAAGGGGCTCAGGGGAAGCCAGAAAGCAGGAACATAATTATTCCCAAACACCGAATGCTGGAACAACTATCAGAATAGCAGTCTTTTGTGATTCAGCTTGCCGGTCTCCACTGCGCTAGCAGTTTCAGCTACATGCAGAGGGACCGACTTCAGTCGATGACAGGGAGAGATCTGATAAATGAAGTGCAGGATCTCGCATTAAATTGACGTCGCTCTGAAATTTTGCAGGGCCGCAGGTGGAGTTCCCGACGCTGCGGCTTTTGCTCTTTACCAACCCCATGGTGCTTGTGGCGGAAACACTAGCATCGATGCTGAAGCCGAAAAAGAAGAAGCCTGCATCCTAGACGAAAGCTTGGGGGCGTTGGCATGCACCAGGTTGTGATCAACTTGGACCGATAGTCCCACATACTTCCTTAGCGTGTGATGGTAAGCGCTTGCAGCAGAGACCACAGATCGGAAGACAGAACAGGGAAGTGCTACGAATTTGTACCGCCGCGATAGAATATGCAGTAACTCTACGCCTCTACGCTTACCAATGCTCCAACATTTCCGGCTCTGCTCGAAACGCGAGATCGAGTCTGATTCAGGGTTCGGGTTGGGGGTGCAGGGCCTGCCTGAATGACGCAAGAGACTTGGATCTGTGCTTCAAGGTTCACTCTACATGTACCTACAGTAGCCAAGGTATCATTAAAAAGATACATGTACCAATTTTTTGGCACCGTATTCCGTTTCGAAGGTACATTGGTGACTTGTAAACCTTCTTGTCGGGTATCATGGGGAACTAAAGGCTAACCTTGTTGATTATATAGGGGTTAGGGATTATACTACCCCAAAAAGGTTAAAGGTTACCTAGGTACCCTAAACCCTAAACCCTAAACCAGACCTTTGGCGGAGCCATCATGGAGTCATCGGGGTTTGAGGCTTGGAACATTGGAACTTGCATGTGGATTGAGCTCAGTGTGGCCCCTCGCCTGCGGCTCACAAGCGTAATTCGAAATCCTTCTGGCAGCCTGGAAACCAAAGGATCCAAGTAACAGCATAGTAGATACTTTTGGGCCCCAATATCAACAAAGTAGCTACTATACTGGTATTTGGACCATGGGGAAGCAGGCAGCAGGGCTCCGAGACGTTTCGAGGCGCCTAACGGGTTAGCTCGGAAACGTTGCGCGCACAGCTTCTGTCGTATCCCGACACGAATGGGAATCCCTGCGCCAACATAGCGAAATCCCTACTCACGAATCTGTGCAATGACTTTGATAAGAAATGTAACCGTGCGAACTTCGTGGGATTAGCGGGGAACTGTTGCAGAGATATGCCAAATTAAACAACAACCCATGTCCCAGTTGCATCTGCTTTGGCCGACTTCCTCATTGCGGGGGCCACTCTCGACATCAAACAACCCGAAATACTCGAGACGCGCACCGGCGAATCTGTGTTGTACTGCTGGGAGACAAAATCTTGTAGTGTCCGTAGACAGGAATCTACAAGTACGGTACTTCGGGACCTCAACATAGCTACAGAAGCTTAGGATCCTGGTAGCAGACACTTGACATGCGTGCAAGCCCTCCGGTTCGTAAGCCCGTAGCCTTAAACCTGTAAGCCCGCAAAGAATACTAAAGCCTAAGACCCTAAGACCGAATAGCTATAAACCCCATATCCCACCAAGCATCGCATCGTGAAGTCGTGGTGGGCAGATCTCTTCTTGTGCCAATTGTAGCCCAGAATGCCCAGCCTGAGATGTAGGACAGGAAGTCGGGTGTAGGCTCGAAGATAACATGGTTTCGGTTGTTGGGTAGGGCTTTGGTTTAGGATTTGTAGTGTAAGTTGTTGTTGACCTCCTGTGTTTCCGACTGCTCCACTAGTCACTACTTCACAGTCAAAATCCCTGACGACCAGGTGACGGGACAACCAACGGTATCATACCCGTGTACAAAGATAGAACTCGCAGCGCTCAAACTCACATAACGATTTTGCATGCTAGCAGTCTCTCGGCGAATGTAAAGAAAGCCTTGCACGGTGCGCAGGTCCTGGGCTACAGGTTTAGTGCCCAGTGGATTAAGGCTAGGTGTTAGGCGGTGCAGGCATTTAGGGCTGAGGACTCCGCAGCACAATCTCTTGCAGAGTCTTTGGTTAGGCTCCCGTCCGAATGCCGAGTATGCAACCAACACCCTCACCCCAACCCCAAACCCAAAACCCCAAACCCTACACCCTAACCTTAACCCTAAACCCTCAACCCTTAAACTGCCTTAAACCCTAAACCCTAAATACTAAAATCCTAAATTCTGAAACCCTAAACCCTGATTCCGGCAGCGAGGTGCTGGATCAGCTCTCGCAGGCCGCCACCGGTCATGATGATCCATAACCTGACAGAGCCGGAAGCAAAGCTGGTTCGGGGTTCTTGTTTCGCTCTCGCACTGCTGGCTACTATGTCCACTGGCGAGGTTGCTTGGGGACTTATCGGCACATGCAACAAGGACCGTTCGGGGTTCTAGGGTTGAGGGTTTTTTTCCTCCTGCATTGCTGAGCGAACCACTACACAATAGGGTTGTAGGGTTTAGGGTTTCCCAAGGCATCAGAGCAAACACCGAAAAGACACAACCAATGAACTAGCGACACATTTCATGCATCGAGAAGCGGCCGTTTCTTGTGTTCGCTGGAAAGTGCGGAATCCTAACCCCCTAACCCCTAAACCCTCAACTTTGTCCTAAACCCTAAACCGGAAATGGAGGCTTTCCGGCTCAGGCTGAAACTGTGTAAGGGCTTAAGTCTAAGTGACTCTCGCTGACTATCTTAAGCGTGCCCAGAGAGCCCAATACCCTTAATTAAGGAATATAGCTTAAGTCATAATATGAAGCCCTATATAAGTTAAGCAATATTCCTTAATTAAGGGGTATTGGGCTCTCTGGGTGCAAGATGTTAGGATCGTCGGACTTCGAGATCCGCCAAACCGAAAGCATAACTCTGAGAGGGGCCGTTTGTACTTGGGCTGAAATAGAGTTTCCGAAAACTAGGGGTACCTGATTTGGTGTCCTTATAATAAGGATCCTACTATTTAGGGTACTATATTAGGGTCCCCCCATTCTCGGAAACTCCCAAATAGTGCAGCATCTTACGGCTCTAATTACTGCGATATGCTGTCAAGGCTGAACCGCGTCTCTGTCCCTCCTACCCTCCTTCTTCTCTTCTTTGCTTCCTTTGAAGCAGTCGGTCGAACCTTCGAACTTTGAAACCTCAGAACCCCAATCTTGAAATCTGTGGCATAAGTGACCGACTGATCTCGTGCTGAACACTGGGACCCATCGTTCAGTCGAGGCGGGAATCATGCAGAGAACCGCTTAGGGGTATACGGTATAGAGCTTAGTGTGTAGGACAACGAGATGTGTGTGTGTGTGTGTTATCTTATTTGCTTCCTCCCCCTTTACGTACAAGCACTCGAGCATGCACAATCACCACAAAGGATTACACCAAACGTACTTGATTGAATCCTGAAACCTGTCTATATGTACATATGTGTACTGGAATGAAAACATGCGCAAATCCACCAGATATTTGAATAGTTTGTCCCTGGGAAAGCTGTGCTGATGTCAGCAACCTGCCTAAATCTTCTGCCAGGTTGCACAGCGGTGAGAGAGCTGTGATCTTCGCGCATGTGCCTGAAAGGTATGAGAGCATTCATGCTCGGGGAGTTCCAGGCAAGCCGACCGCAGCATTCAAACTCGTACGGTGAGGGCTTGTGAAACACATGAAACATGGCGAACCTTCGAAATGTGGTTGAAGGCTGTGCAGCATTTGGGAGTTGTGGGCTCTCTGTTGACATCTACAGGTTTCGGCGTTGTTAACTTAAGGCCCTGCCATTGACAGAAGCTGCTTACCAACTTCAGTCCATTTCTTCCAGGTTTTGAAGTACCGCGGCCCCGTAGCAAACATCAAGCATGGCCAGTGCGAACTCAGGATGTGGCACAGAAATTTGCTTGTAGAAGTCAAGCCGTGCTCTGGGAGACATGTCTCGCCAGACATCCACCCAGATCTCGAAGGAAGACACTGATTCCCAGAAACGCTGCGTAGTTTCAAGCAAGGGCAATAAGATTGCGTAAAGCAGACCCGCTCCAGTCCATCTCAACACCATGTGTTTGATAGCCTTTCTCCAGGACAAGGCTATGAAGAGGATCTTGGTTACGAGGGTGTCTGTGCTGTTAAGCAAAAATTAGGATAGGGATATCCCATATAAACCCCCGTAAAAGGAAGCCCAATAAATCCCAATATAAGGTAGGGATATCCCGGTAGAATGCTTATGCTTCTGTGCTTGAGCTTTGGCATGCGGCGCTTCCAAGGCACGTCTCGCCAGAGAGGCCCCACCAAATGAAAGCAAACAGCTCCACCATGTGGAAGAGAAGACTCGCCATCCAAACTGACCTGTTCAAAGACTCCAACATCCCTTAATTAAGGAATATTCCTTAAATTATTAAAGTAAGATCTCTGATATGAATTAAGGAATAGTCCCTAATTAAGGGATATTGGAGTCTCTGGGTGTCTGGTTCGGTTTGGGCTCAGTCTTGGACTTTGGACTCTCGCAACTCGGACGATGCAGGCAAGGATTGTTCGGTTCGAAGAGTCGCACATAGGAAATTTGGGAGTTTCCGAAAATAGTGGACCCTAATATAGTACCCCAAATAGTAGGACCCTTGTTGAAAGGGCCCCAAAATAATGTACCTCTAATTTTCAGAAACTCCAATTTTTGTTGTGAGCTTAAGGGTTTAGGGTTTACGGTTTTCTTGATGATAGCTCTCATACCGACCTCACGTCTACTACTTTGTCGAAATCTCCCGGGCCGTGCTCATGTCAATGTCGGGGCCCAGTTCCAAGAGCACAAATGTACCAAGTAATCCCTGCCCGAAGTACATTTTAGAAGACCTTTAACTTAAGCAGGAAACCTCAGCTGATTCTTGAGGCCTCCATGTCAATTGTGTCAAATGCTGGTCTACTTCGCCAATTTGGCATTTGGGCCTTGAATCTGGCATGGATTCTCGGCGGAAACAAAAGCGGAAACCAGAACCTTCAGTGAAAATTGTTCGCAGCCAACTAGATTGATAGTTCCCGGTTTGCAACGATTTCTGAAACAAGCAGCCTGGGGTTCATTTTTTACAGGCTTGGAGGTTTAATGTGCTTCCCCTCGCGCAGGGCCGGGGCGATGCCCACTGAAGAGGTTGCTATGGGGCGAAGCCGGAATGCTGATTTCATACTATATAGCTTGATGCTTCGAGCTTGGGAAGATAATGGCGATTGCTCTCCAATACAAGGGTCTCAACACCTACATCCCCTCATAATCCGTGTCTAACCACGCTGTAGCCCTATTCTAATTATGAAAGCCCCACCGTGCTCTTACAAGTGGCTCGATGAGGTTGCTCCAAAGGCAGTGAACAATGCCCTTGATGGACAGCTTCGAGAACACAGTCAAGTCCTGCGAGATCAGAGCCGAAACTATGGGAAACATACATTTCTTGCACTGTTATATCATAACACAGTGCATCGAACCAAATGAGACCAGGTAAGATCAGGTCAGTCCACGAGTTAAGAGTTATGACAACATATTACATCGGAGCTTGTCATGCCAAACGAAACAACACTCATCTAAAACAAACCATTCGGCACCAAGACCTTGCATACAACAGCCGGGATGCTTTTAGTATGTTATGTAAACTACTTGTACCACAACATGTTTGTTATGTATAGCATGTTGGTAACAGATGCAGTAATAAATGCTGAGTACTGAACAACAGTATCATATGTTACACGGTATACATTACCGTTCTCTCTCTCTGTATACATGTATATATATATATATACATATATATACATATATATACATATATATACATATATATACATATATATACATATATATATATATGTGTGTGTGTGTGGAGAAATTGCTAAGCAAAATACACAATGTCATGTCGTAAGTTATTGGGTGTATATGAAACAACACAAAACCTTGTGTCTTCAGTCATGTCTCTGCAACTTTTTCATTACCATATGTATATGTATGTGTATATATATATATATGCTAAACCAGTAGCTGCTAGACTGTAGTGCATGCCATTTTACTTTATATTTGGTTATAAAGTATGTAACCAAAAGACCAGTCAAATTCCAAATTTTTTCTATTTTATTATCAAGTACAGACCTTTGATGCCATCCGTGATTACAATGTACGGTCTTGCCACATGCTAAGCTGCACGGTATATTAAGTCGCATTACGTGCTATGATAATAAAACAATAACATGCTAAAGTAAATTATGTTCCATGTGACGTGGATTGCCCGTCAAGAAATCGACATTTGCATTCAAGCAAATGACTTGGCCTTAGCAGCCTTAAATACTCTCAGCAAACCTGACTACAAAAGCTGCCTACTGGGCTTATTACTCTTTCTTGCTGTGACAGCTTACTGGGATTTATTGAGTTGTGGCCTCCTGGAGTTGTGGCCTCCCACACAGCTGAAGCAGCACAAAAAACTCAGCTGAACCCGTCGCTCTACGTAGCGACTGTTCGGGAGCAGAACGGAGTACGGCTTAGTATTGTTTGGGGTTCTTGGGGTAGGGCTGCAAAACACGGGCCTGCAGTACAACAGCTACACAATCGGTTTCTTTTCTTTTTGCGAGGTTTGCCCAATCCCCAACCCACCCAAAAGCACGTATTGATTGGTGGATTCCCTGCGTGGATCGCTGGGCATCCAAAAGCCTCGTGTGGGCAGTTCCCTTTTAAGTACAACAGCACGACGACATCGAAATTGCAGTCGTCGTGGTGGCAACTCCATCCACTGCAATGCTAAAAGGTTGCTAATGCCAAATCCTGAACATCCTCCAACCACCACAGCACGAGCATGATTGGACGAGCGTCGGGTCCCCGCTCAAGCAAACCTACATTATCGCAACCGACTTGATCAAGGGATGGTTAGCTGGTGAACCGGTGCTACTGCACTGCCTCTGAGGTTGCTACTGCAGCTACTACTATGCATTGCCACTGCCACTGCTAGTGTTTATCTATGGCTTCGACGACGAATGCCACTGCGGTTTCTACTAGTACCGCTGCTGCTACTACTTCTACTACTACTCCTCTTGCTACTGCTGCAGCTTCGGCATTCACCCTGTAAGTTTAAGGCAACCGCATGACCAAGCATATCTTCGACATTATTGTCATGTCTCATTGCGGAAAAATGTGGCTCCCAATTTAATTTTGCATCTTGGGACTTGATCTTTCGAACGCGTAAGCGGCAAGCCCCAACCCGTATCCCCACTGTCAAAACTGGCAAGTTGACAAGGTTGCATCTAATTGTGAGATTGCGGTGCGTGCGCTGATTAGTAGGGAATATACCACTACATTGTAATGGTAGCGTACAGCGTAGTGGTGGGAGTAGTTGCTGTAGCAGTAACTGTTGCAGTAATTAGTGGTAGCATAAGCCGTAATGACGGTGGTAGAAGTAGCAAAAATTAGTAATAATAACAGCAGTAGTAGTAGCAGTAGTAGCAGTAGTAGCAGTAGTGGCAGTAGTAGTAGTAGTAGTAGTAGTAGTAGTAGTAGTAGTAGTAGTATTCATAGTAATTGTAGCAGTAGCAGTAGTAGCAGCAGCAGCAGCAGCAGGAGTAGTAGTAGTAGTAGTAGTAGTAGGAGCAGTCGTAGTAATAGTAGTAGTAGCAGAATTAGTAGTAGTAATAATAATAATAGTAATATATACTTCTAATAATAATATTAATAATAGTTATATTATTTAGCAGTAGTGGAGCAGCAGGAGCGAAAGCAGAGGTTTCAAAACCTTCCACTGTCGCTGCGGTTGCAACGGTTGCAAACGCCAAATATAAATCAACCGCTGCATGTGCATGGTTGAATTCGCAGGTGCTCTGCATTGGACTAATGATGAGTCTCGGTTCCGCTTCTAATGGCCCAATGGTTCGAAAGCTGCCAGCTGAAAGTGTGATGGAGGATGCCAAAACGAAGAACGTGTGTCGTAGCAATACTTATTGATCGCTGTCCGTGCTTTGAAGATGAGACAATCCTTCATGATAGTTCAAGCGAGAGTTAACTTAAGCCGCTTGCATATCACGTTATGTTGGACTTTGCGCATCGGCTTATAACAACTCTAGCAACTTTGATCACTGCCTGGGCACATACGGATTATATGCCAGTTTGCGATCGAAGAATCGGTCGTAATCCGTCTATTTAGCAGCTGCCAACGGAGGATCTTAATTGATCACATGTCACATGCATGTATTCCCTCCCTCTCGAAATTTCGGGCGGCTGCGCAGGTGTACCACTGTACTTGAAACTCACAAAGCATTTCCTGAGGTTTCGACGCAAGCTACAGCAACCTTTGACGAAGTGCTTGTTTATGCATTTATGCAGAACCAGCTGGCAGATGAAAGGGGCCTGTGCCACTCCCCTGTGGACGGTATGGTTGCAACGTATATACATCATACAAACATTGCCTGAAAGGAGTGCCTCCTGCAGTGCGTATGATTCAGCCCGAACACTGTTCGCGTCTCGTGCTCGTGGCCGACACTTGGCTGCAAGCGTCAAGCCAAACCAAGCGAAGCCAAGCTGAGTTTTCATTGGAGGTGAGAACAACAGAAGACCGGTGAAACAGAAGGTTGTCTACCAGAAGACCATATCTAGCAAAAGACCCCGTGTACTTGAAAACAAACCGTACATATGGGTGAGAATACCAAACCCATCGGGGAACATGAAAAACATACCTCAATAAATACGTACACAATTGCGGCTATGCTAAGCAACGAAAATAACATGCATCTCTCCTCCTGCTCTACCTGTGACACGGCCATCATGATGTCAATGTCGAGCATGTTGGGCCTCTATGTGACGTGAATGGAAAAGTCTGTCGTCCATCTGGGTGCTTGGTGTTCAGGAACAGGGTTTGGGACTTTCTGATGCCCCGCCTGGCTAGGAAGGGCTTCATGTTCAGATTAAACCGAGGATCTAGAAAAAACCGTGTGATCCAATTAAAAATAAAGGTTAACCTGACGGTACTACGCTCCAACACCCGAGGTTCAGCGGGTTTTCGGGCTGAAGGGTGTAATCCATCGAACTAACACCAAAATAGCGGGGAGAACCATCCGGATTGCAACCCAGCCAATAGCCAACGGCACGTACAAGTTCGATGCTACTACCTTACTGCAGGTGCAGGGTAGCACAGAATCTTTAGAGATTACACGGGCATGGGCGTGGCCGGGAACAAATCTGGGATTCACAAGAAGTCTTCTGCCCCTTGTTTTGGGTCCTCATAATAAGGCTCCTCTATTTAGGGTACTATGTTAGGGTCCCCTAGTTTCGGAATCTGCCGAATCAAACCCTAAACACTAAACCCATCCTACACCCTAAACCCTAAACACCGACCGTGGGCCAAGGCACAGGAGCGTGGCCCGGACGGAGACGTTCACGGCATTTCGACCGCTCCCAGACTTGGACACCTGGATCGGCTTTGGGGTTCAGGGTTACTTAGAGGATCATGGGACTTAGTAAGTAGGTTGTAAGTGGGGTTATAAGTCCCGTAACTGGGGCTATCCTAATTATAACATACTTATAACCTTACTTACTCAATCCCATGAGCCTCCAAGTAGGGTTTGGGTACCTACTATAAGGGTGCTTTAAGGGATCTATAAGGGTTCTATAAGGGATCTATAAGGGCTCTTAGTAGCAGAGTAGCTAACCTTTAAGCGGGATTTTCCTCGGGCTACCAGGATTCCGCAGGTTTCTGTCTCCAGGGAGCTCTTGGGGCTGGATTTAGGGTTTAGGGTTTAGGGTTTAGGGATACGAGGTAAGCCAACAGAGCCGGATACAGGGCGTGTAATAATTAGAACAGGAACGCTAACGAATATTCACTTCGCGGAAGGGACACTACCCAAAGGCCCCAAAGTAGTTCCTTTTTGGGGTTCATATATAGAATTCTATTAGGTAATCCCAAAAAGGAACTACTTTGGGGCCTATTATGAACCCCAAAAAGGAACTACTTTGGGGCCTATGGGTATCCAGCAGGGCCTCTGGCATGAATGAGGAGTGCCACTGGATGCCAGGTTGTTGGCTGATGTCCTGCCCGGCTCTGAAAGTCAGCTTCGTGTTCTAGCCCTAAACCCTAAAACCATAAACTCTAAACCGACCTAAGAGTAACCTAGTAATAAAAAGGGTGCCCTTTGGGTTTAAAGGGGCTTATAAGGGAAGGTGAACCGTAAAAGAGGGAATAACGGCCTACTCTAGGTCCTAGTGTTTAAAAAGGAGCTGGAGCTCTTAAGGGATCATGAACCTGGACGAGCAGGAAATGAATCTTGGCAGGGGACCGGTGGACCCGAGCTGCTGTGGCTTGTGCAGGATAGGAACGGTCACTAAGGCAGATCGAAAAGCATCGATCGTCCACACAGCAGAAGTGCAGTTTGGGTTTGACAGAACCACGATGCTGATTGTTCGCCAGAGTAAGCCGGTGTCCTTCTGGCTGTCGAATTTCCAGCACGGAAGCATCACCTCGATTGCAACGAGCTGCAAGAGTGCAAGGTGTCTTGACGAACTGAAGATGAAGCTAATCGTACTACATCGCTTTTGGACACCGCCTGCATGACTCCTGCCCTACGCTGCATACCGTTTCCTACAGGTAGACCCTTTACCGTAAACCCAAAAAACAAACAGACCAATACACAAAAATGCATGCACACACACACACACACGCACAAAACAAATAACAACAAACACTTCAAGTTCCAAACCCGGAAACAGGATGCAGGCTTTTGCTCGAAGGGTCAGGAAGCTAGCCGTTCGTCGTATAGTTATATCCGATACTAGCTTGAATCAACGTAGTCAGAGCCCAAAAGACCCCGAACCTCATCCTCCTCCACACAGGTCCCCAGGCCCGTCAGTCGAGGCCCAAGCCTAAATCCCTAAATCGCGGGATGGTAATATATGCGCGGGGTTACTCTGGCACGGCTGCATAGGGACTGTCAGGGAACCTTTGCACACTTTGGAGCCCATATGCTAGGGTACCCCACCACGTGCCCAGCCAAGAACTGACTGCGCCGTCCGCTGAAAAGAACAACAACTCGCAACCCAAAACGACTCGTGGTTTTGCATTTGTGGGGGTTTTGCATCGTCTTGAAACCTGGTGGCTCCATACTTAACAGCCCTGTGCCTGATGCAATTCAAGCTACGCCATCTCGCACGAGGACATCGGGCCGGTACGTGCAGTTCATGACTTCCTGGGCTTTGGGTTTAGGGTTGGAGTCTGTGGGAAGCAGTTGAGAGTTCTCAGCTTCGGTTTGCGGAGTTCGCTCGCAAAGGTGTCGAAAGGGCCCAGGCATGAAGTAGCGCAGCAATAGAACTGATTCGGCAAGACACATCTCAGTTCGTCAGGAACGGGACTCGACAAGACTTCAGCGGACTTCAGTGTCTCGTTGTCCAGGAGATGTGGGACGAAAGTTAGCAGCATAAGCAAAAAAGATAGCCGCCGTACCCCCAACACGCGCTTCATGACCCGCCACTTGTACATTGAGCACACCGTTGGCTTTGCTGGACGTACCTGCCCCTAAACCCTACGCGTATGTTCTTCAAGACGGGAGTCGGTATAGTAGATGTTCTCTCCGGTTCATGCTGGCTTTGGCAACTAATTATAATAGCTCGCCGACTTAAGGCCTGCTTCTATTCCTAAGCCCCAAAACATCCCTCAACCGATGATTCGTACATGCGGGTAGTTAAATCCTTCTGAAGGCGAGCGGCACGCTTGAAGTATTCTAGTAGTCTTTTGAGGATCCCAGGGAATGTAGTTTGGAGAATTATCCAAGCGAATCTCGACCACCCACAAAACTCCGATGTGCTGGACCTCTAGTCAATCCGAGCCTTGTCGGGTTGCAGGCGCAAGGTTTACATAAAGATTTCGAGCGGCAGCTCTATGTAACTGAAGCATGGTCATTGGATGTTATAAGCACCCAAAGTGTAAACTCTACACTATAAACCCCCTCCACCATGTCGATTGTGGCACTTGGGTGGGTGCTGGGGACGACTTGGATTTCTGCAAACAGCCCTAAACTCCTAATCCTATACCATCTACCTAGGCTCCCCGACCATCCTCTACTATACCCCAAAGACCCACTATTAAAGACCATAAGGGCTCAATGAAAGGGCCGATGTTCAATGGGCGGACCTAATATATCCCAAACAACTGCACCACGAAGAAGCTCTTGCAGCTTCCTCTGGGCCCCGTACCCTAAACGTTATCGCCCCAAAACCTATGCAAGTCTTAACCTCAAACCATCAAAATGCCAACCCTCCAGCCAAGGTCTTGAACCCTAAAACCTCAAACTGAAAGCTTAATTGACTCTACAATACAAACGTCGAAACCATAAAGCCTTATCGTTCGCCCGACACGGAGCGGATGACAGGCCAGCACCGAAGGTAGTCCTGCTGGCACTCTCATCGGCTGGAAGTTCAGGTCTTTACGATGTTCGGGCTTACTGTAGGGTGTACGAGGGAAGGGGTGCCACATAGGTGCCTGCCACTTGGCAGTCCGGGGCTGGGCTCTAGAATTCAATCTACAACTACATGGAGCAACCAGTTTGGTTGCTCAAGCCTCTGCGTTGCGTTGTTCTCTTCTTTAAGACCCGGGACCCCCCAAACGTTCAAGCTTACCGACAGAAACCAAGCATGCAAACTCAACAAGCTTCAAGTTCTGCCACTGACGCTAGTCCGGTAGCTTTGGCCTTGGTTTGGTTTAAGGACATTCTGCGATTCCCACTATCAAGCAGTATAACCAGTAAGGCAAAATTACACATCCCGCCTAAAGAAATAGGTTCAACATATGTTGCGCATTTAATGGCTTTGGGGCTATCAAGGTGTGTGTATGTGTGGGTGTGGACACGAACAATGAGACATACATACATGTGTATATGTATATGCATGTACATGTACATGTGTATGTACATGTGTATATATATATAAATACAAATATATGTATATATATATATATATACATATATACGTGCTTACATGTAAAGTCAAGAAGCCCACCAAGCCAGAATACAGGGGGTTAGAATAGGATCTTGTTGCATGTTCTGCTATAACTAGAACTACACACGGACGGCAGGGGAATCCAGTTCCTACATATTCCCCAGGGTTTAGGGTTTAGGGTATCCTATACCCCTGAACCCTAAACCCTTACATCCTAAACCCTGTACTGTCTTTCAAAACAGGCTTGCTACTTCGCTCGATGCACTAAAACCCTAAACCTAATCTTCATACCCATAAACCCTAAACCTAAACCTAATACCCTCGACCCCTAAAGCCAAACCTCATACCCTAAAACCCTAAGTCTAAACCTCACACCCTTAAACCCTAAACCCAAACCTCATACCCTAAAACCCTAAACCTAAACCTCATACCCTTAAACCCTAAACCAGCGTACCAAAGCCCTTAGCCCGGCCTCGGTGGAATGTTGTGCTTCGAGACGTCTTGGACCTGCCAAACGTGCGGGACACGTCGAGGATGTGAACCGAAACGGCGTCCGTTTTCTGTTTTTCAGCGCCTCTTTTCCAGCTCGCAGGTATGTTTGCACGCCGCTGAGGGTTTAGGGCTTAAGGCGCCACATACTACACTGAATATCGACACCACAATGCATGCATGGCCTAACTTGTTGATCAAGGTCCCCGTTTTTGACGGTGCCTTGCTCACGAACCCGAACCCTGAACCAAAGTACATCCGAACAAAACCCTAAGCAAAGTAAATTTGAGAGTTCTCTCCCTTTTAACATCACCAAGCTCAGGCGCCACTCTTGTAATACGGACTTTTAAATTTAGACGATTCGCGAAAATAGGTGACGTGGGGTTCGGGATTTAGAGTTCCTCGAAGCAGCATCCCTAGCTGTGGATGCCGGCGAGAGCTCTGTAAGTAAGTCTACATGCCGCAGGGTGCAACGGCGTGGATTGAGCCTGGGAGTTGCTGGCCGGTTGGAAAACTTCAGAACTCGGCAAAGCACATGCAAAGTTTCATTGTACTAAACCTTTCTTACAGACGCGTGAAGGTTTTCACTTTTTTGAGGAACATCTACAGAATCTACCGACTCCCTGTGTCATACTTGCTCCGCTGCAACCTTATTACGGACTCAGAGGGCTTATGCTTTATGCCGCAGGGTTAGGGACCGTCGTGAAACCTTTCAGTGGGAGTCTTCGGTGGCCGTCCAAGGATGTCTGGCAGAAGGTTGAACCACAGAGTGCCAGCAACACCAAACATGAGTCCACCTGCTGCTCTGACCCCAAACCCCCTTTACACCTGGACTACACCCCAAACCCCCTAAACCCTAAACCCTAACCCGCCTCCGGTGACACAATGAGCATGTCAAGCATGTCCGCCGCTGCACTCGGGGAGATGTACAAGACTGCGGCCATGCTATCCTGGGTGTTGAGGTTTTAGGGTCTGCTGGGCTACTTAGAGGATCCCGGGACTTAGTAAGTAGGGTTATAAGTAAGATACCTATAGTTATATCTACTTATAACCCTGATTAAGGTACTTATAACCCTACTAACTAAGCCCCATGATCCTCTAAGTAAGACAGGGATGGGGAGAGTGGTCAGCATACAAGACAAATACCCATGTGCCCAACTGAGGCCTGATTAATGTTTCAGACAAGAGCTGAGGGGTTTGGCATGCGTCGACTCCTGGTTTGGCGGAAACACACAGGCACGTGCGAATTTAACATCGGCTTCTTTATCACCACGCACATCCGATGCCGCCAATGGGGTTCTGGTTGCTGATGAACTGATGCTTACAGCACAGACAAGCAGCTTCCGAAGATGCAGCTGCATCACTGTGTTACAAGGTTTAGATTGCCTGAAGACCAGGCACAATGGAACCTCAAGTTCGGTACTATGTTGAGACACGAGAGGTTCAGGGTTTGTGGCTTTGGGGTCTAGAGCTTAGGGTTTGAGGGCTTAGGGGTTTGGGGTTTGCTCAGATGACGCAAGAGCATCTCTGAACCCCAGAAGCCAACAAAACACATGCGCAAATGGGATACATGAGGTCTACCTCTGATTCCGGCCCTTCTTACAAGGACCATGCAGAACAAAAGGGTCCTTATGTTTAAGTATCCTTTCAACATATCATTCGAAATTGGTTTCCTTCTATCCGTGATCTACACTATACGTTGGGGTGGAGCCGGGTACGTGATAAGGCTGCTAGGGGACTTGTGGTCGGCTTTATGCAGAGCTGTACATGTGGGATAGTCGCAATGATGGAAGTCTATACTAGACCCTGATCGCTAAATCCTCTCTACCCTAAGGCTCCGGAATAGTTCCTTTGTAGGGTTCGTAATAAGAATCCTATAAGGTAACCCCAAAAAGGAACTACTTTGGAGCCTCTGGGTAAAGCCGTAAAAGCCCTAACACCACAGCCCCAAACTCAGAACCCTCACACCCGGTACGGCCGAAGCCGAACAACCTAAAGCCCTGGAGCCTTGAATCATGCAAACTGTATAGACATCCTCAGTCCAGCCAGCCCCGCAGGATATGTCATAGTAGGCGCCTCAATGGCAAGAATAGGGTTTTGGGGTATAGTATAATAGTATACTACGAAACATAATCAGGAACCCCAAGGAATAATAATGGCAATTGCTTGGGCTTCCATTTTGAGCTCATGCAGGCTAAGGCAAAGACCGTCCGTCCCGGCTGCTGCGCATCCAGGCCTCAGGAAATGATACATCTGGAAACTCGCATCCACGCCAGGCAGGCCAGGCTTTGTGTTCAGGGCTTTACGATTTGAGGGCTCAGGGCTGATAGATTTCTTGCACTTTCAGGCGTGGGGCTTGTAGGTCGAACGTCCTTGCTGCAAGAGCGCTTTAGGATGTAGGGCAAATCGCCAATTCCGGCACCTGAGCAGCCCCGCCCGCACTCAAAAAAGAAAATCCCCAGATCAAAGCCTCAATCCCCAGAAAATTCCGAACGGTCACCATTACGGCAAGTACAGCCTGAAGACTAAACCCTGAACCAGCGACGGGCTGCGAAAGGAGTTCAGCAGCTCCGGCTGCTTCAACGATCTCCGGACCAACTCTGTCACTACCTGGCCAGTCCGCGGTCAGGACTCATTTTGTTTCTGATCTGCTTCTAGAAAGGCTTTGTAAGGACTCTTGGCAGGGTGCTATCTGATTTGATTCGGATTTCCAACTGCAGCTGTCCAAACCACACGAGCCCAATACCATGAGGACAAAAGATGCAAGGTTGCGTACAGGCCCTGCAATACAAATACAACACAGGGTTTCAGGTTAAGGGTTTATACGAGGTTTCGTATTTACCTGGTGGCGCAGCTTATCTACATCTGGTCATAGAAGCAATTCCGCACGAGTTCCCTAAAGCCTATAAGCCCTAAACCCTAAACCCTCAACCCCTAAACCGTCACAGCCTGGTCCTAGCAGAAGCCGGGATGTCCACTCAGGCACTCAGGGCTTGAAGTCCAGGGTGAAAGAGACACGGATGATCTAAGTTTTAGCATGCTAAGTAAGACAAAAGGGTGCCGCAAAGTCTGCGTCAGGCACCCTCATGAATGGCTATTTAGGTTGATACGGGGGCTACTATTTGGCTACGCGGCTACATGTCAAGCAGAACTGACAGGTTTCAACAGATTCTAATTAGAAGTCTTTCCTGGTGAAATCTGACATATGCACCGTCAACTCGGGGCACACAGACCTGGGGCCTAAAGGTGGCTCAACTCTAAGCCTGCGCAGAAGACAAGGGCTGGAACAGCCGCCTCCTCCGCAGCCTCCGTGTTCAGGCTCAGTAGGAAGCCTTAGGCAGCAACGGAAGCTGCTCATTCCATCCTGTAACGAATCTACCATTCTGGGAACCCAGGCTCCTGATGTCAGCTCGCACAAGGCCCTTTTTACCCTAGACCCGAGTCAGAACCCCTGCAGGCATCGCAGGGGACGTCCCCGAACCGAGACCGCAGAGACAGGAGAAGGAGAACAAAACGGCGCATGCTCGGTAGCGCAGTAATTTAGAAATAGCGGGTTAAGAAGTAGAAAAGGGTTTTGTGAAGAGGACGTATCGGGCCTCCGGGCTCCTAGGGCTGTATTGCTAGAACAGGCTTTTGGGGGCTATTTTGGTTCTTATGTTAGACTTACTTCGGGGGCGTACCATTCAAGTACTACCGGCTCAGTACAGTATAGAAGGCCTTCGGTACAGCTTTTGGGAAAGTGCACCAGCTGCCAAGATATGCCAAGGGGCAAATGTCGGAAAAAAATCGTGGTTCCCCACCAGACTGGTTGTTCAAGCATGGAGCCTCCAGTTGATGTGGGCTCGCGAAGTAGTCTCGTGGCTTAGGATTCACGGCTTGGAGCACCCTAATTAGAGCTTTTGGCCTTCGCCTGCTGCCAGTCGTCCTGCTTGACTTAGCAAATGTTTCAGCTCAGATCACCTCTCGGCTTTGCAATGCAGGGAAGATGGTAGGGTTTAGGGTTTAGGGTTTAGGTAATCAATACGCGACCGCAAACTGGCCCGGTGGCTTAAACAATGCGCCCACCGGCCGCTGCACGACAACAACATGATACAACATGCTTGATGCGAAGCACCCTTGTGAGCACATGCTTTTTAACCCAGCAAGTGGAAGCTCTACAAAATCCACCAATTGAACGGTGAACCCTCTCGTGCTTCAAAAGCAAGGTCAATCAGTGATACAACTAAAACGTGCCAAGAGCACGTGCGAGTCGTAGGATGTCACAGGATTCTGCATACTTCGAATTAGGCTGGGCTGTGATCCCTCATCCCGTGCTGGACAGCTTGTTACTGGATGGACGGAACGAGGAACACAAGCCATGACATATCGTTTCATGTCATCTTTCACTTCGGGGCGGGCTTCGCGGCAGCATTCTTGAAGCCCTCCACCCAGTTGATGGCCCAGAAGTCGGAGGCAAGGGCGGGGTGGCACATGTACTCGTAGGGCATGTAGAAGTAGCCCTTGTCGCCCCAGCCTTCTCCCCAAGAGTTGCGGACGATGAAGCACTGCATAAAGTCGTCGTAGCCCACAGCGCACACGGCATGGCCACCCAGCTGCTGGTCGGTTGGCTGGGGCATCACCATCTTGCCGGTCCTGGCGACCTCCGCAGTCTGGAAGCTAGACAGGACAGCAAAGCCGAAGACAAAAGGGTAGCCGTTCTTGAGGCATGCTTTGAACTGGCTCAAGTCCTGCGCAACGCGCGCGTAGCCCATCACACGGCACTTGTGCGCGACCTCGTAGGCCTGCTTGTCCGGCTGCTGCTTGAAAAAGGAGGGGCCGTCGTCATACTTCCAGACGCTCTCAGGGCACACACCCACCTTGGACATGACCTTGATGCCGTCGCGGATCATGGCACCGGCATCCTGACCCACGCTTCCCTCCACCAGGCGCTCGTTGTAGTAGATGAACAGGCGGCTGGGAGTGAAGTCAGCGAAGTCCTTGTCGTTCTCCACAGTCATCTTGTGCAGGGTGAAGTGGAAGGCAGCCGCCAAGGCATTCGCTGTGCAGCTGCCCAAGTGTCCCTGGTTGAAAATGGGGAAGCCGCCGTTCTGCGGACGCAAGTCCACGGTCTCCTTGGTGCCCTCCGCCTTCTTCTTGATAGAGCTTGGTGCCTCCACCTTGTCGAAAGTAACATGGAGATCACGGTGGTCAGGCATGTCCGGCTTCCACCCGAACTTCTGAATAGTACGGGACTGGACGTTCATGTCTGGTGCCGATGGGCCCCGGATTGATGCCACCTTGGTGTTCTTGAAGCCCTCCACCCAATTGATAGCCCAGAAATCCTGGGCGAGCATGGGGTGGCTGATGTATTGGTAGGGCATGTAGAAGTAGCCCTTGTCACCCCAGCCTTCTCCCCAGGAATTGCGGACAATAAAGCATTCCTTGAAATCGTCATAGCCCACTGCCGTCACGGCATGGCCACCCAGCTGCTGGTCGTTTGCCTGGGGCATCACCATCTTGCCGGTCCTGGGGCTCAAAGGAAATGCTTGAGAACTTGCTGTCTACCGTGCTTGATTGCTGGGGTGAAGAAATTGGTGGCGCCACTGGCAGCAGCGGTAGCAGGAGCAGCAGCAGTACTAGCAGCAGGAGAGTACTACTAGTCGTCGTCGGCGTACCCTTTGTTGTCGCTGTAGTTGTAGTAGCAGTCGTTGTCATAGTCGTAGTCGCAGTCGCAGTCGTCGTAGCAGTAGTCGACGTAGCGGTAGTTGTTGTTGTCACCCACCTAGTAGTAGTAGTAGTAGTAGTAGTAGTAGTAGTAGTAGTAGTAGTAGTAGTAGTAGTAGTAGTAGTAGCAGTAGCAGTAGTAGCAGTAGTAGCAGTAGTAGTAGTAGTAGTAGTAGTAGTAGTCGCAGCAGCAGTAGCAGTAGCAGTAGCAGTAGCAGTAGCAGTAGCAGTAGCAGTAGCAGTAGCAGTAGCAGTAGCAGTAGGAGTAGGAGTAGTAGTAGTAGTAGTAGTAGTAGTAGTAGTAGAGTAGTAGTAGTAGTAGTAGTAGTGTAGTGGTAGTGTAGTGTAGGTAGTGGTAGTAGTAGTAGTAGTAGTAGTAGTAGTAGCAGCCAGCGGCGTGTTTACCGTACCCGTGAAATCGGCTACTGGGGACTGGGGGGGGGGGGATAATAACGACATGGTTGACCGTAAGCAGTAACGGGGGGGGGGGGGGGGCTAATAACGACATGGTTGACCGTAAGCAGTAACACAGTAGCGCCGGTAGCAGTAGCAGTGGTAGGATGCTTGTAACAACGTGTCTTGCTCCACATTCTTGTGCAGCATGTACAAAAAGCCAAAAATGCTGTGAATACCAGTGTTTTGGGCATGACCGCCAAAGGCAATCACATGAACATTAACCTGACCATCTTCATCATAACCATCATCCTCGCCATCTTCAACATCATCGTTAACTGCATCACCGGCCTTATGTTGATGATGACGACGATTATGAGGATGATGAAAGGGATGATGACTATGAGGATGATGATGAAGATGATCAGGTAAACGATGATGTTGAGCATGGCGAGGATGATGGTTATGAAGATGATGATGAAGATGGTCAGGTTGATGTTCATGTCACAGCCTTTGGCCATCATGCCCGAAACGCTGGTATTTACAGCATTTTGGGCTCTTGGTACAACATGCTGCACAAGGATGTGGAGCAAGACACGTTGTCACAACACACGCGCGTAAACCTTTTCGAGCAACGCCTCCCACACAAAACGCAAAACAGCCTTGTCATTTGCGTACTTCCAAAATACACTGAAATAAGCACGCCACCACAGCGGCAGCTGCGTTTGTCAATATTTAGGGGTACGGTAAACACGGTGGCGGGTAGTAGTAGTAGTAGTAGTAGTAGTAGTAGTAGTAGTAGTAGTAGTAGTAGTATATAGTAGCAGTAGCAGTAGCAGTAGCAGTAGCAGTAGCAGTAGCAGCAGTAGTAGAAGTAGTAGTAGTAGTAGTAGTAGTAGTAGTAGTAGTAGTAGTAGTAGTAGTAGTAGTAGTAGTAGTAGTAACAACAGTAGTAGAAGTAGTACTACAAGCAGAAGAAGTAGTAGTAGTAGTAGTAGCGGCAGGAGTAGCAGTAGCAGTAGCAATAACCGCAGCAGTAGCAGTAGCAGTAGAATCAAAATTCAAAACACTCGAAATCCTCGACGTGCCAAAAACTTAAACACAAATTGAAAACAAAATCCAATGTGCACTTGCGGCGGGTGGCCCCAAAGGCGACCTGTGGTCCGGGGGGTTCTGTTCGATTTTTATCACATGTTTATTTGATACTTGTTTTCGTATTGCTTCCATTCCAAGACCTACTGTGTCATTAGCAATTTAATATCAGAAACATTAGTAGCAGTAGCAGAGCAGCAGTAGAAGTAATATGAGCAGGAGTAGGAGCACGAGGAGGAGTGGCAGTGGCAGTAGCAGTCGTCGCAGTCCTTTGTGCCACCCACGTACTGGCAGTGGTAGCGATAGTGATGATAAGTGGTGGTGCTGGTGGTGGTGGTGGTGGTGGTGGTGGTGGTGGTGGCGGGGGTGGTGGTGGTGGTGGTGGTCGTGGTGGTGGTGGTCGTGGTGGTAGTAGTAGTAGTAGCAGCAGTAGTAGTAGTAGTAGTAGTAGTAGTAGTAGTAGTAGTAATTAGGAGAAATAGGAGCAGGAATAGGGGAAGGAGGAGGAGTAGTACTAGTGGTTGTTGTTGTACTGGTCGTCGTCGTCGTCGTGGCGGCGGTGGTGGTAGCGGTAGTAGTGCGTGCTGGCAAAAGAGAGCCGATCAGCGACCACAGCAGTACGTCCAATCTTGCCAATCTTGACCGCTTGCACCACTTGACCACTTGGACCGTGCACCACTTGGGCGGGGACGGGTCCGGCAATCTTGGTAGTCTTGGTGACCAAAATGACCAAGATTACAAGATTGACAAGATTTACAAGATGGGCAAGATCGACGTCAAAAGGCGGCTTTAAATTGCCGGCACAAAGTCGTAGTAGTAGTAGTAGTAGTAGTAGTAGTAGCAGTAGCAGCAGTAGCAGTAGCAGTAGCAGTAGCAGTAGCAGTAGCAGTAGCAGTAGTAGTAGTAGCAGTAGTAGCAGTAGCAGCAGTAGTAGTAGTAGTAGCAGTAGTAGTAGTGGTAGTAGTGGTAGTAGTGGTAGTAGTGGTAGTAGGAGTACTAGTAGTGGTAGTAGTGGTAGTAGTAGGAGTAGTAGCAGTAGGAGTACCAGGAGTACTAAGAGTAGTCGTAGTGATAGTGGTGGTGGTGGTGGTGGTTGTAGGGGTAGTGGTAGTAGTAGTAGTAGTAGTAGTAGTAGTAGTAGTAGCTGTTGTGGTTGCTGTTGTGGTAGTGGTAGTGGTAGTGGTGGTAGTAGTAGTAGTGGTAGTAGTGGTGGTCGTGGCGGTGGTGGCAGTAGTAGTGGTGGTAGTGGTGGTAGTGGTGGTAATGGTGATAAATGAGAGTAGCGGTAGTAGTAGTCATTCTAGTGGCAGAAATTGGTGCTTGTGTGGTAGAAGTTGTAGTAGTAGTAGTCGTGGTGGTGGTGGTGGTGGTGGTGGTGGTGGCAGCAGCAGCAGCAGCAGCAGCAGCAGCTGGAGTAGCAGTAGTACTAGTGGCAGTATACAAGCCGTGATCTTTCCGTCTCGCCGGTGCTTCTTTGTTGTTTGGTCATCCTGTCGTTCGCTTTTTCTCGTTGTGTCTGCTCATCTTCTGTCGTTGCCTCTTTGCTCATGTGTCGTTCCTTTCCTCCGGGTGCTTTGCATTGTTTCCTTTTCTGCTCACTGTAGTTCAGTCTTTCCGTCCCTGCTTGCGTGGTCTCCTCCTGTCTCTCGCTCCATGCAAGAAGTCATCATCATATCTACTTACTCGTGCGTTATGTGCTTCCAAGCATTACCTCTGGCTCCGAAACTGAAGGCAAACGAACACGTGCAAACGACAGGCCCCCTCAGTCCTGGCAACCTCCGCAGTCTGGAAGCTGGAAAGGACTGTAAAGCCGAACACGAAGGGATAGCCACTCTTGATGCACATCTTCATCTGGCTCAAGTCCTGCGCGACACGGGCGTATCCGATAACACGGCACTTCTGGGCGGCCTCATATGCCTTGCGATCTGGCTCTTGCTTGAAAAAGGAGGGGCCGTCGTCATACTTCCAAACCTTCTCGGAACACACACCCATCTTGGACATGACCTTGATGCCGTCGCGGATCATGGCACCGGCATCCTGACCCACGCTTCCCTCCACCAGGCGCTCGTTGTAGTAGATGAACAGGCGGCTGGGAGTGAAGTCAGCGAAGTCCTTGTCGTTCTCCACAGTCATCTTGTGCAGGGTGAAGTGGAAGGCAGCCGCCAAGGCATTCGCTGTGCAGCTGCCCAAGTGTCCCTGGTTGAAAATGGGGAAGCCGCCGTTCTGCGGACGCAAGTCCACGGTCTCCTTGGTGCCCTCCGCCTTCTTCTTGATAGAGCTTGGTGCCTCCACCGTCTCGAAAGTAACGTGGAGGTCACGGTGGTCAGGCATGTCCGGCTTCCACCCGAACTTCTGAATAGCGCGACTGTCCAACTTGGCCATCGCAGGGTGCTTCTCGGCAACCTGCACCTCATTCTTGACCTCAACCGTCTGCGTGCCCTGGCAGTTTCCCATTGTTGTCTGAGTCTACCTTGAAACGGACGGGAGTTTGGCTTCGACACGAGCTCTGGTGCTTTGCACGGCGAGCTTGAGCCACATGACAAATCGGAAGCATGTACTCACTTGTCGCTGTCATGGTTTCGCTGCTACGGATCGCAAAAGTGTTTTAACCGCAAACACGCCCGCTTAACCCCAAGTCCTGCGTTCTGAACTGCCAGGAGCCCTGGTCGCAGCCCTATTCTCAACCCTAGAAGAGCTAAAATACGCGAGACTCTACATACGCAATCCCCATTCTCAACCCTGGAATAGCTAACATCTGAAACCTTAAATCCCAAACATTACAGGCAGCAAACCTCGAAACCCGTCTGTCCTAAATCTCAACCCCTAAACACCAAATACCAAACCTTACACCATCGAAAGCCGACCAGAATCAACTGCAATGACCGACCCGAGGCAATTGTTAGAAATCGCTCTTTCACGGCGCCTTGGTTACTTGAGGCAGGCCCGAACCCCACATCCCACACCTTAAATCGAAGCCTAAACCCAAAACCCTAAACCCTGCCTACACCCCCAAACTACTTTCTATCGTACCCTAAAGAACCGTATTAAGGACCATAAGGGCTCCATTTAAGGGCTTGGAGGGTCCTGGGCCTCAGAACCAAAACATCGTCATCTTATCGGCCTATGGCTCCAAATAGCCCGAAAGCTCTTCTGGTTTTCTCGCACCCTTAATGAACCCTTTTGACAGACTTATAGATCCCTCATCTAGTAACTAGTATATATATATATATATATATATATATAGAGCGCCTCTGGGCCCCCAAAACCTTCGCAAAACCGACACCACAGCCGAGGCGCCAGGATGTGCATCACGTGCTTAGGGAATCCTGGGTTGCCGCGGGTTTAGGGCTTTGCGCTCTCACACTCGGACTCTACCAGATGAGATGGAGTTGGTACACGGTTTAAGGGTTTCGGCGCTCACACTCGGACAATCCAGGCGAGGCATATGGTTCGGAGTCTGCTGAGTGAAACGAACCTAGTGGGAACATACTGGGGTTAGGGTTTGGGGATTAGGGCAAGCAAACCTTCGATGAAAATATCGATCGTCTTATTCTTCCTCTTCTCGCCATCAGTCTTGTTATTGTCGTTGTTTATGACTATCATTAACATTATTAGTATGAATGTCGGTATGGACAATATTTTTATTGAGGTTTCAGCGACATCTCTACAGAACGGTGGCCTGGAACCCAGCAAAAACTCGAACGACTAAAGAACGACTTAGAGTTCAGGACTGCGCCTCGACAAGCATGGCAGGATCCCCCTTCACACCCCTAAACCCTATAAAGCCTACACCCTGAACCCTAAACCCTCAACACTGCCAAGCCTGCACACAACACAAGGCTTATTTCCTACTGGATGCCAACACGCATCGTGTATCGGCACCATGGCACAAAACCCTAAACCCTAAACCCTAAACCCTAAATCCTAAACCCTAAACCCTAAAAACCAAAACAACCGCAGCCAAGGGCCTGAATCAGCACAGGCGTTTGGGGCATAGTGTAGTAGATACATTCACCAGGTACTGGCCCGATTCTATCTCTTGCTGTGCATTTAGGCTATTCTTTTGGGCATTCCTTCGTATGCTTAAGGAACTGTTTGCAAGTTGGGACAGCTCCTACAGACATGAGCAGAAACACCACCTCCTGACTCCCGGCCCCTCTTACAGAAAAGTGGATTCCAAGCGCAATCAGTCCCTCAAGCCTAAACCCGAAACCTATTCTTGCCACTACAACCTTCTATATGAAACCCTATCCCCCAAGCCCTTAACCTAAGCACTTAGCACGGAGGCTATACCTGAATAGGTAGTAAAAAGTGCCGTATGATTGAAGCTATGTACACCTCCCTTATTACATGATCTGACTTGTAGCTGGCTTACGACGTCCCCTGATCATTCCATTCACCTAGGAAAAGCCCAACCTAAGGTAGAAGCCAGAAAGTTGGAATATGATTATCCTAACCCCTTTATGGTAAATTATAGGGGATCCTACCATTAATCCATATTCCAACTTTCTGGAGTTCCCTTTTCAGGACTACATGAGAGAAGGGTCGACTCTGGTCGGTGGCGGCCAGCTCAAGGGGGACCCTGGGATGAGGGTGCATTAGGTCCCAGGCCTGTTTGATGCTGTGAGATTCGGTGTCTCAGGATTTCTTCTTAACCCTCGGGATCAAAATAGCCCAAAAGCCTTATATAGCATGGTCTTGGGGCCCAAGAGCCTTAATATATGAGTCCTTAGATCCCTAGGGTAAGGGGTTTCAAGCTACAGGGGTTCGACTCTCACAGGGCCCAACTACGATTTCAGAGGTCAAGGCTCTTCCGGGGACCACGAGGGTTCGACACGCCCTTCACGGAATCATTACAAAGGCCAGTGCTTACTGAGAGGCAGACTTCGAAACCTCCAGAAAAAGTGTGCGAACAAAAACATGAGAACCGAAAACCACTGTATGCGATGTTGCATTGAGGATCCCAAGAAAGAAGCAGAAAGGATATTCCCTGTGAGAACCGTTTGTCATGAAGTCCAACAGTGCGATGCCTGAACTTCAGTTTCGAACTCTGGAAAGTTCGCTGTAGCTGTACTAGGAAAGCCTCAGGAATAGCACCGTGAGTCATTCCGGCCCTTATGATCCTATTCTTCTGTATGTGTGTATTCGTGTACATATAGAGAGAGTGCAGAATTCAGTTTAGATACGGTTGTGAACTGATGATGAGACTGTTTCTTCGCAAGTGGGGTTTCGGGTTCGTTGCTGTATGACCCAAGGCTTCATAATACGGTTCCAGGGTTTAGTGCTCTCAGCTTTTTCGCACCCGCACTCGACGGGTCTTAGGGTTTCGGCACGTGCACGGGCTGTAAGGGCTGTAATTAAGCGGATAGTCTTACCACTTGTTGAAAGCCTTGTCTCCACGTCTGACTGAGAGGCACCTGTAGCTGCGTAAGCCCAGCAGTAGCTGTGTGCTATCTAGTGACACTTGCGAGGCAGTACAGGTGTGGCAACTTGCGCTCTTGCTTGACCTAGTAGCTGAGTCCATAAGCCCCCAAAGGGGTACACTTTCAGCTTTATAGTCGGTAGTATTGTCCCAAAAAGTGTAAAGCGTATCCACTCAGCTACTGAGTTGAAAAAGGAATCTGAACACTTGCGAGACAGCATCTTCCCACGCATCAACGGGTCGGGATGCGACATTGGTATCCTGCGGCTGCGTTGGGGCTGAGACCACAACTTATTTGTAACTCATAAGCCACAGAAATCAAGGATAAACTTTCCGGTTACTACTAATACTATAGTTAAACTTTAAGAGCCCAACAAGTTTCTAGCTTGGGTATTGGGAAAAACCAAAGCAGTTCGAAGCACCTGGACCAAAGAAGACCTGCTCCCCCAACCAAGGGTTCCATTACATGGGTGGTTGTCAAAATCAGGGTCCCTTTTTTGGAGTCCCTATTTTTGTTACGGCACCTAATATTTAGAGTACCCAAAAAGGGACCACCATAATTTTCACAACCGGCCATATGAACTGAACTAACCGTTGCCGATGATGACGGCAGGACGACGACTTCTGCTGGGACTGCTGCTCTGCTACTTAGAGGATCATGGGACTTATAGCAACTAGGGCTATAAGTACCTTAATTGGGGTTATAAGTAGATAATAACTATATAGTATTATAGCCCTACTTACTAAGCCCCCTGATCCTCCAAGTAGTCCCTTATGGCAACTCTTATAGACGGCCGCCGGGATTTCAAGCAGGGGTCTTAATGGTTAGATTCCCGGATAGTTTAAGGTCCACCTCAGGAAAGATTAAGAGCAGTCAATAATTATATAGGCCCCTATGCTACTCGAAACCTAAGGAAGAGGATTTAGCGTAACTCTTTGAAACTGAGACCCGATGGTACCCGCAAACGCAACTTGCATCGCAGTCCTCGACTCAAGGGATGCGCCACGTTGGCACAAGACTTGCACCAATCGGATGACCTTCTTTCATAGGGATCCTTAGGGGTGTAGGGGGAGGGGGGGTAGGGGGCCTTAAGGCCCATAATAAGGACTAATAAGGCCTATTTAAGGAAATATAGTCCCCTACACCCCTTCCCCCTACACCCCTAAGGATCCCTATGATTCTTCTGGGGTTCTTCTTGAGGGGCTACTTCCCTAGAGCTCCAAGTACACAAGTGTGACCCACTTGGGGTTCTATAGCACATAATATAAATTATGCCTACATCGGGCTATTCGCAGCCCCAGGGCGATGGTTGATCGTCATGAGGAAAAGTTATCCAGGATGTGTTCTGGCTGTGGTAGCTTAGAATCAGCTTCTTTACAGCGACCCACGTGTTCAGAACGAATCGAACCCTCATGTGCGTACGGCTTAGATTGTATATAGAAGCACTCCTCCAATCGTGGTGTTGGTCGTTCTTGGAATCTGGAAGGCAGGGAACGTGTAACAAGTTCATCGGCATAATCGCCCCATATCTCAGGCTTTGAGGGCTCCAGATCTCCCCTCGTGCAGTTGTCCGTACAAACCGGCAGATAATTCGCACTCCACCAGTCTTTGCGCCGCGGGTTTGAGTCATGGGCTAGAGCCTTTTGAGTAGGGCTCGCGGTCCATGTTGGGGGCTCCGGGAATTGAGGTTGAGGGGTTTGGATAAGAAGAAGGTAGTAATCGTTGTGGTAACAATTATGACTAGTTGTCATCATCATAAATATAACCATATAGACTGAAAGTTTTATGCCTTCGTTGGTTTAGGTTCGGGCTCGTGGTGAAAGGGAGTGCTGGGCCAGGTTTCCGCTGCCTCGTCGTCGCTTTCAATCCCTCCAACCACTCCTGGCACGAAGGGCATGCTGTTTATGAGGGACATTATAGCGTAAGGGCATAAATTGCACGGGATGAGTGAGAACCTGTGCAAACTGCACTCGGCCGATAGTTCGAGCCACCATCTTGAGCAACCGACTCTACCTGTGCCCCCACGGTCTT